CTATAATCATGAGATTTTTACCAAACCTTTGTAATATCTCATTGTACAAAAAGACAATTTTTTGAGTAATCATATCGTTAAAATGCAAAATTTAAATAAATTGGCATTACGAATCCTACTTAGTGATAATACCGAAGGAATTTTTATATACTAGTGACAAATAATTCCGCATCTACTTCGTAACATATATTAAATCATATTCTGAAATATATCGATGTCTAACATATATGACATTGTTTCTAAATCATCCTCTTGTCTATTGTGCTAAATCATGAATTAATAACTGAGGTATTTTACTTTGAATTATCAAACGATAGATTAATCTGTAAACATTATGATATTTGGTATATTATCGATTAGTGACTTTATCCAAGAGGCCGAGAGTGGGGAGAGTCCGCTCTCCGTCTCGAAATACTCTCACACGGCCACGCGTATACAGCCTCTGCCAGGGAAGTCCTACTCATTGCCTTCTCGTGGCGGGGGTGTTGTTTACGAAAATGAGAGGACGAAAAGCGAATGTCCGGCGCTTTAACCGGATTCCAGATCAATGGTGCACATGGGCTCCAGTATCCTGCGGGAACAAATGGCGTATGAACCAATCGTTGGTCACCGGCTACCATGGGACTGCATCTCCTTACGATGCTCCACTGCCTTGTGGGTTAGACCTTTAGGTCAAAGGCTCGGGGAGTGGCCCCCTAAGATAACCACCTGCTTCGGTTTGGGCACCCGGGCAGTATCACAGCCCACACACAAATTGATGAACTCTTTATGCCTATGGAAATTACCTTTCTCGCTTTGAAAAACAAACAATTGATTCAGATTATTATCATTACAATTATTGTCATTATTAATACTATTATTATTATTACTACTATTATTGTCATTGTTATTATTATTATTGTTATTATTATTATTATTATTTTCCACATTATTCACCCTCTTTTATACTTATATAGCGGCTCGTCTTTGGTGGAAATTCGACTGTATCTAAACGTTCTCGAGTCACTGTCCGGTTGAAAATTGTATGTTACCACCGAATACGAGTACTGAAGCAGTTTTTCTAAAACCACGTGCACCATTCAAACTGGCTGCCTTCAACGTTCGCACATTTATGCAGGTCGGACAACAGATAGGGCTGGCTATGTCTTTGGAAAGTCTTAATATTGATGTTTGTTGTCTATCCGAGACCCGTATTCAAGACTCTGGCGAAGTACTACAAATTCGATCTCCATCTGTCGCTTCGAAAAGCTTGTTTCACGTTCGCTTATCCGGGGACCCTGTGGCATCTTCGTCTGGTCTTGCTGGCGTTGGTGTCGCACTAAGCGCTAGAGCTGAGGCAGCACTAGTCGATTGGATCCCCATTAACAGTCGGTTATGTGCTGTTAGATTAGAGAGTTCCATCAAAGTGAGAAGAAATCGGCGTGAGAAACGATGTCTTTTCGTCATCTCCGCCTATGCCCCGACAGATTGCAGCCCGGATGCAATCAAGGATGAGTTTTACCACCAGTTATCTGTTCTTCTCCAGAAAGTGCGTTCGACAGGTATTGTAGTACTAGCCGGAGACTTGAATGCTCAGGTCGGGCGTCTAGGCACAGAAGAGAGTCGTTTAGGTGGCCGATGGGGACTCGTTGGTCGCAGGTCAGATAACGGGGACCGTCTACTGCAACTGTGCAGAGACCACAACCTGTTTCTGGCTAGCACTAACTTCCGGCACAGTCATCGCCGATGTGCCACCTGGCGTCCTCCCTCTGCATCCCAAGCCTGGACTCAGATTGATCACATCGCGATCAGCTACCGCTGGCGTGGTTGTGTACAAGACTGCCGCTCCTTTTGGAGTACCTATCTGGACTCTGACCATGCCTTGGTCTGTGCCAATCTTGCCTTACTTTTCAGTGGACAACGAAGTGACCACCACCAAAAGATCGATGTTAGCAAGCTGGTTGCAACTTCTGTTGCAAGTAAGTATCGAACCGAGCTAGCCTCTAGGCTAGCTACTACTCCACCGAAAAGTATAGATGAGCATTGGTTGCAATTGCATGACGCCATGAAAATGGCGGGAACATTCAGTTGTGGGTTTGCGAAACGTCCCGCTTTTAAGCACTGGGTTTCTTCTGGTTCCTTACAACTCATTGAAGCCCGTCGGTCTACTCCGGGTGACCGTGAGTTTGACCATAAACGAAGGAAGTTACGTGAGGAAATTGGGCAAAGCTTGCGTAAGGACCGAGAAGCCTGGTGGTCGAAGTGTGCTAATGAGCTGGAAGCAGCAGCTGCATCTGGTAACTACCGGAAGCTCTTCCAGCTCATCCGAGCCACTGGCAGCAAGAAGTCTGGTGTGAGTGAAACAATCTGCGAGGATGATGGGATGCCAATCACTAACATCCATCGACGTCTTGGACGATGGGCAGAATTTTTCGAAGGGCAGTTCAACTGGCCTGCTGCTCCGGCAACATCGGTCAGATTGTCCTACCCTCCATGGCCGGTGACGACTGATCCACCAAATGAGGTGGAAGTCCGCAAGGAACTCCAACTCTTGAAGCGTTACAAATCACCTGGCCCAGATGACTTACCTCCGGCTCTTTTTAAAGATGGTGGTGACTTTTTGACTAAGGAATTGACGACGTTGTTTACAAAGGTTTGGGAACTAGAGAGTGTACCAACGTCATGGAATGAGCCGATAGTTGTCCCTATCTTTAAAAAGGGTTCACGTCGTTTCTGTAGCAACTGTCGAGGGATAAGTCTACTTCCGATTGCGTCCAAGCTATTGGCTTCCGTCATTCTTCGTAGGTTGTTCAAAACCCGAGAAAGATTGACTCGCGAGGAGCAGGCTGGGTTTCGTTCTGGTCGTGGATGTATTGATCATATCTTCACCCTCCCCCAAATGTTAGAACACCGCCATACCTTTCAAAGGCCAACAATCGTAGTGTTTCTTGACATCAGGGCTGCCTTCGATTCGTTGGATGGGACTGTTCTCTGGGATTGTCTATTGAAGAAGGGTGTGCCTGAGAAGTTTATTAACATCCTAAAAGCCCTATATACAAACACCTCAGGCAGAGTGAGGGCATACAACCACCTCTCTCCATTGTTCCTTTCGAGTAGTGGGGTTAGGCAGAGTTGGCCAATCTCACCATTCCTCTTCAACTTTGCCATCGATGACATTCTGGAAACAGCTCTGATGAATGTAAGTAATGGCGGTGTGGATCTGTTGCCTGGAGAAAGACTTCTCGACCTTGAGTATGCGGACGATATTGTCTTACTGTGCGATAATGCCCAAGGCATGCAATCCGCACTTAATCAGCTGGCAATCAGTGTCCGTAGGTATGGTATGTGCTTTGCACGTTCGAAGTGCAAAGTACTTCTACAAGACTGGCAGGATTCCAATCCTGTACTCACCCTGGACGGTGAACAGATAGAAGTAGTCGAGAAGTTCGTGTATCTGGGTAGCTGCATAAGTGATGGTGGGGGTGTGAGTGATGAGATCAATGCACGAATAGTGAAAGCCAGAGCGGCTTATGCCAATCTGGGCCACCTTTGGCGCCTTCGTGATGTTAGTCTGGCTGTAAAAGATTGGATCTACAACGCGTCGATGAAAGCAGTTTTGCTCTATGCTTGTGAAACCTGGTCTCTCCGAGTTGAGGACGTTAGACAACTCTCTGTGTTCGATCATCGCTGTCTCCGAAGGATTACTGACATCCAGTGGCAACACCATGTCAGTAATGCAGAGGTTCGGCATCGTGTGTTCGGGCACAAAGACGATAATGCATTTGGTGTCACCATCTTGAAACACCGACTTCGGTGGCTTGGACATGTTCTCCGAATGTCGTCCCAGAGAATTCCACGTCGTGCATTATTTGCCGACTCTGGGACTGGCTGGAAGAAGCGGAGAGGTGGTCAGTGCATGACTTGGTGTCGTGGTATGAAAGAAAGCTGCAAAGGACTGGCTTGTGTTGGTCCTTCACGACTCCCTGGTTGGGGTCTGAGAGATGTTGCTACACAGTGGCTAGAGACGTTATCAGATATGGCTCAGAATAGAAGCCAGTGGCGATCCTGCTGTAACGTTCTTTTACTTTCTTCATAAAAAGTGGTTGTGTCTCCTTTACCTGAAAGATTTCTTGTGATTGTACCTTTTCGTTCCGTCGTTACTACCACACTACCTTACTCCAATCTCTTCGTCATTGTTCTCCTTTTCTTTTGCGTTCCTTAGTTTTTTTTTTTTTCTACTTCTCTTCGAATTCTCATTGTTTTGTGTGGCGCATATATATTGGCGCTCTCTTGTACCAATATTCATGTGTTCAAATAAATAAAGAAGAAGAAACATAAGAATAATGAAAGATACAGTATTTGGCATTAGGTAAATTTTATTTTACTATTAAGTCAATCATACTCAAAACTGACCCAGACCATTCTTTTGTTATAAAGATCTATTTTCACTATCTCAAAATCACAACAAATAACTGTTACTTTATCTTGGATGAAGAACTTCAAATTTAAATAAAAACCATTGTTTAGTAATATAATTGAAAATAAATATCTTACATAATTTAGACATTTACAAACACTAATTTTCCTGCATAGATCATTTATGTGACAACAGTCAATATAATCACTAATTAATTTATTGTTTACAGTACATTTAATGATGATCATCATTAAAACAAGTTAAAACAAATACTATATCACTACCTTTGAGTTCAATAAATTGTAAATGAATGAATTGTTATTTGTTATGATTATTTCCTTGTTTGTTTCAATAACTGACACGTTAAATAATAAATCAGTGAGATAAACAAAGGGAGGCTATAAGAAAATAAATTAGTTTTGTTTAATAATTATTTGAAATTTACAAATTTTGTTTTAAACTAAGTCAAAGTAAACATTCGTTCTCTCTTGTTATGTTACTTGTAGTGCATGTATTTAGTTTGTTTGAAATGATTAATAGAAAAAAGAATTATTATTTAAGTAATTCGTTTGTTTGTTCTTCTTTAATCAAAATATTTTTACAGCTTATCAGTATCCTGATCATCTTAATTCATCAGTTACCAACTGTATAAATAATAATCCTTGTGGAATTCAAGATCATTTATTTTATGAATGTAAAGACTGGTTATCTCGATTCCCACATTTACGTGTTGTTGGTAAACAAATAAAACTTTCTGATGAAAATAAATCTACTTTTCATCATGATGATAGTAATCTCATATCAGGTAGAAAATATTGTTTATTTATTGCTTCAGTATTTGATTTCTAAAAACAGCAATACTATGAACTTTCACTAGAAAATATAGGTAAAACGTTTTAAGACGAAAACTAGTTTTCATAGAATTATGCTTGGACATAGTTACAAATGAAAGCCTCTCCAATTACTTTACATTTAATGCGTAAATGTGTGTTGTGAATGTTCTTGTATTAGGCAAAAGCCACAACGATATAACATTTTGCTGTTGGTTTCAGTAGTTTGCTTCTGTAATGATGTTCTCAGACAGCAAGAGTTTCATGAATACCTATCATTGCTTATTTCGGTTACCTACCGATCAGGATTTATATGGGCTCGCCCCTGAAATAATGAAGACATACACTTCGAAACTTTTTACTGTTTACCTCAGAATAGAAGTCACAATGTAACAATGGTTCAGGATAGAGAAATAAGGGTATATACAGAGTTGTGGCATCGGGTTTTAGGGACAGATTATAGGGTCAATTTTCAATGTCCCAGTTTTAAGCATTACTATTTACCACTATTTGATGTTAGCTTCATGTACCTTTGTTTACTTTTGTGGTTAAAAGCAGATTAAGAATTCATCCCTACGGACAAATCTATTTGTTTCTCGAAGTCACGTAATTTCGCTACCTTCATTTGCCTTCTTGATGACCACTTTTCTTCGTACACTCCAAAGTATAAAGTAGTGTCAATCAATAAGAATCCTTGGACCTAGGTTTTCTGCCGATAGATATTCTTCGGTGAACTGTACCTGTAATCTTGAGGAGACTGATTCTCTCTGACGCACTCGATCACATGCCACACAGCTTCACAATCACAGGTTGCTACTGATCTATCTGGGTCTCGACTGACCTCCTGTGAGACTAAGATGTATTTACAATTGGTCGATCACTGAATAGTGAATAATGTCATGTATATCAGGCTCTTATTGCATGTCTAATTTTACCCATCAAGTTGCAATGTGGGCACTAGTCAAGTGACTCGGCAACGCGTGCATCATGTTATGATGTAAGATGGTGCTTAGAGGTAGTCGGCAGGAAACTCTAGACCTGGGTTTCGTGCTGTTTGGCACTCACTAACAAGGTGTATGTATAATCTTGAAGAGAATGATGCTCCTTAATGGATTTGACCCCATATCAATGTATAACACAGATTGCATTCTGAAAAAATCTGGAAGTTGTAAAACCCCACTTATTCAGTCAATTTGAATTTATGGCAATAACAGAAAACATCGACATCAAATATTATTAAGCACTCCGACTTGCTGAAATCTAGAATAAATGTGTACACTCAAAAGGCAGATGACCAATAAGGAGTTATCTTCTGAATTATACCTTTACTTCAAGTTCATGATAAGAATTTTGTAAGCAATTGTTGAAATTCATTACAGCTGGCGTGGTTTGTCCTTGTTTTCTATGATTAGTCGGTTTGGAAGTTCTAGGATTACTATAAAATGGTGTATGCGGATATTCTAATCTAGAAATTATTATTCGTTTTCTTTGGCAATGGGTTATATTTCTGTCACTTATAAAGCGTTTTCGTTTCATGAGTAAGTATTTCGTGAGCCAGGTATATCTGATTTTTATTCGTAGAATTAAACATTTATCAAGACTTTAGTGTACAACTTGATATATTTTATACTGAACCTCCACAGAAGCACTCAAGAAAATGACAACAATCGTCTCATCCCAAATGATCGAGATGAGTTTTTTGAAGTTACAGTTGGATGCCTATGATACAGTAACTCACAAATGACATTACGTGAAGCTATAGCATGAATTGGCTGAAGTTAAAAGTGTGATTTAGTGGATTTTGATGCAGTTATCGTGTTTCTGTAATAACCTCAACGTTCTGTTCTCATAGGTACCCACTGCTAGGCGATCCAACAATTAGGAAGCAACAGCTATCTACAGCTCTATAGTTTTCAGTAGTCCTCCAACTAATATTAGTTCACAAGTACTTACACTTATCTTTAAAATTATTGTATTATTTTTATTCTCAAAGTGCATGTTAAAATAATGATATTTTGTTAGATTCTTTTTTGACCCTAATGGGACTTATTTTGACAAGTGTCTCAATAGCAAACTGTCGTCAATTCATATTATTTATTTTACATAACGCTTATTTTAAATTTTTATAGAGTTCTCTAACATGATTAACGTATCAAGCACAATCATGGATACATCTCTGAATATGAAGAAAGTTATCACTGACAGAAGGTTAAATCATATACAGTAAGCTGGTTTTGTAGGCCTTGCATACATATTTATTACTGTTATTATCCCATCCCTACATTAAGTGAGACGACATTTAAATATCTTCAGAATTTGGATGCCTCTATCTCAAGGATGAAAAACTAACACCAATTTCCTTGTTGAAATCTAGTTATAATATTTTATTTCAAGCTTTCGTTATCGTCCTCACACAATTTTTACCTGTTCATTAGATGTTTGAAGTTATATATGCACTTAAAATGGTATCAGCTGTTCCACAATGCTACGCAATTAGTGATCCTTCGCAAGTACTAATAAACTCACACAGTTTTAATTTACTCTAATTTTCATGCCTTGTGTTTCGTTTTTAGGAGGTTTATTTGAGTCGTTTTTCAACATCTAAAATAAAAAGACATTTGTATTACTGTTCTTATTATGTGACATAAATGATTGCTCGCGTTTCTCATTATTTTTTTTACCGAATTAAAATTCGCTGATTACGTTCTAGTCGCTTCACTTAACGATAATATGTAATATGTATGAGAACCAAAGTGCTTTTCCATCTTTTAATTGATACTTCGTACAGTGCATTCGTTCGCTTGTTAGTTTGATATTTATGAGAAAGACAGTTTACTGTACTGGAGAACATACAAGTTAGGCAGACACAACAATTTCGGATCTTCAAGGTTTTTTTGTTGATTCATATTGGAAAACTTTATACCAGGAGGGTGAATAGAAATCAACAATGGTCGAAAACTATTTTTGAAAATTTCCAAAAGAGAATAAAGAATATTAGAGTTCGAATACTCTCCGTTTTTCGATAGTGGAAAGAAAATAAGAGAAATAAAGAGGATTTCGTAAAGAGAAGAAAAATGACGTTGTTCAGAAATTGAAAAATAAAACATAGAGGACATACTTACTATGCTAATCGATATTCAGTCACGTGATTTAAAAGTACGTCAGTTTAAGTAACCTGTTACAGATATGATATTTCATCAATCTTACCCCCTATTGGTGTTTAGATATATGACTTAATTACACTCAAGTAAGCCATATGCATATGTATCTATGGAATTCAGAAGCCCTACCATTGAGCTTGTTTCTAACATTTCGAACTATTTTCGAAGGAACACCCTACGGATACATTTAAAATATCTGTCTTATAGTAAACTACTTATGAAGAATTGTCCGTAATAAGCATTTGAAAAAAATTGATTTCCTGAGAATATGTGAAATATAAATATAGTAACTTTGATTACTGTTCATCGTCCATATTCACTTAAGGACTTTGTGAATGAACAGTACTGTTCTTTTTATGCAATGTCATTGTAATTGTTTTGGATGACTAACTTGTATTGTACGGATTAAAACATCTAGCTGAAATTTTGATATGATAATAACAAGCCAGTTGATATCTACAGCTTAATTGGTCTATTTATTTTTTCTCCATAGAAGTGAAACGGGGAAAATTGAAGAACATCTTTCTAGTTCACTAACATCCATTAACTGCATGGAGGAAGAGATATTCGCTATAGATGGTGAGTATGAAGAATTTACGGGTGGTGTAACCGTAAGCAGGTGAGTATTTATTGGAATATGAGTTAGAAATGCGCAGGTTTACATGATAACATGCTATGAACAGAGTTATGTTATATCTAAAGGAATATTAACAAATTTATTTGAACTGATTCTCCTCGCCCTTCCTATTAATAGGTATTTTACTTATAAAACCACAAAACCTCTTTGATTATCGCTATGAAAACATCAGTAAGAAAGTAATCAGAACTTATGTCGAGGAAATATCTGACTGAAACTATAAGCTATTACTTCGCAGGTTGAAATTGGGGTACAATGGTTCGTACTCTGTTTTCTGTACATCGTATTTTGTTTTCAGGCAACATTCATGACTAGAAATCTAGTACACATAATGGTGAATTGCTATTGAGTTGCATTGTCTACTTTGTTGCAGTTTTATGAAACGAAAGTTTAGAGAATACCTGTATCGTCATCGAAGTTTCCATTCCATTAAATAATGTCTGTTTGAGAGATTAAACCATGATAAACATTTTCCACCCATAGAGTATTACTTTGCTGTTTTTGAAAGGACTGATCCTTATTGCTCTCAATAAAGATAAACACGCTAAAATTTGCTTAGCTTTTATGTGTCAATTGGTTTTAATGCTTTTATGGGAAGTGAGAAGTAATGGACATGGATGTCATATTATTTAGTATATCAGACCTAACATTTTCTAGTATTAGCTTTAACTGTTGTTATCGCTTCAGCTCGAGCAGATAACCACTATCTTTTTAATAAAAAATATTTTACAACACATTCCTTTAGTAGATAGAAAGAACTTAGTAAAAAGTGTCTAGACATTTTGTAGTTTAAAAAGTTCTTTATGTTGCACATTTTTCATCGTTCTTTATCAAGTGCAAACTTTATTTGTTCAGTTAAGCTAAAACGTACTGAATTACATCACATGTACTGTATCTTTTCTTCGGACGAATATGGAATGTTGAAGTTGCAGCTTATTTCTGCTGTGATTCATTCTTGTTATTGATATTGGTACGATTGTGCTTCAGTTGTCATCACACAATTTCTCAGACATGTTTCGCAGATAATTAAATGAAGGAACTAATTGTAAACCATATTGTCTATCTACGTGTTTTTTTTTAAAAAAAAATTCATTACCATATGTCCATACCTAGACAACGATAAATATTTAAAATGAAGACATGTATCATCATTGTTGTTATTTTTCATAAATTCCTTAAAATGTTAATAAATTGTTTGATTTAAAGTACATATTTCATCTCCCTTATGATGAAGGCAAGGATATTATTGTACAAAGATCAATAATTGCTTTATTAATTAACCAATAAAAACTCATCACTACGTAATCTAGTTTTGTTAGTTGTATTCAGTGACACTATAAATTATTTTTCAGTTGGATAAGAGATGTCCATGTAAGTGTCTAACGTAAAGGGGGGAGACAAAGAATATATTTTGTTTTACTAGAACTTACGAAATCAATACTAACTACTATTTTCCTCAGTGGTTCTTATCTTTATCTAAGATTATTCTCTGATTTCATATCGTTAGTTTATATAATTATTTGAGACTTCTCAAGCATATCAGTGTTTAAATGGGATTCGTCATTTCGTTGCTTAAGCTTTTAAATGTATGTTTATCTGAAGGTGATTTTCACCATTAACTGTTGTCATCTGACGAACTGTTGAAAACCAGAAATTAGATTATAATTCTGCCTTAGTTTTGAAGCTCTTCCATCTGGATACATTTAAATCCAAAAGAAGTAGAACCCAGAAAATTCTGATCCCGCAGTAATCAAGACATTGATGAGTTGGGAATGGCATTGCAATGATTCATACCTCCAACTTTACTGAATTTTATGTGGCACACCAATCCACACCGAATTTCATTAGTGAGTAACTACTTCTATCTCAAATATGGTAAAAAATAAATCACAACGTCCATCAAGAACCTCAGTAAAATAATTTAGATGCCAGTAAATAGTTTTTCGGTTGATGTTAACTCATGAAAACTGCTAACTTACATAACTCCTGAATATGATCATTCAACAGAAACATTTTTTACGAACGAATAATTTTTCAAACTTATGCTTTAGGTATACTTTATTTGAAACATAATTTGTTGCACTGAGATATTGAGTACATGACAGTTGTAATTGTTGGAACTAAACAGAGAAAATAGTATTTGAAATACCTTAAAAAAAGAACTACTTCACTTTTTTTAAACGCAGTTTTCTATAAGACTCTTCATAGCAATTCTTTCACATTTACATAAGAAATTCATGTGTTCTTTTATAGTCAAAACTACAAAGAGGTTAATCCAAATTTTAGAAAAATTAATTATACCCTAATGCTCATTGAAAGACATGTCAGACTAAAAGAATTTTATCATATTTACACTAACAAATTATATTTAATATTTTTAACTGAGTCACAGTTTATTATTTATTTTACTAGCTAAAGTTTAGATATTGTGAATACTCTGAATGTTCACTATCTATTGTATTTACATTTACAAATAATTAAAATAGCCCATAGTGTCATTGAATAAGAAAAAGAGAATTCAGTGAAGAAAATTTTCCTTTCGACAAAATTACTTACTTAAGCTGTACATTCGTATTTATAGTTATATAGAGGATAGAAAAGATTGCATCATAAAATGGATTCGAGACTAAATAACAAATGAGGTTGTTGGCTAACTTATTTATGCATTCATTGGAAACAATTGTTATCTCAATGTGTTCCATTCCACCAAAAATTTGGGTAAGATACGTAGATGATACCTTTGTCATTATAAAACGAGATGGTTTACACGAACTATTCCAACAGTTCAACAGCTTAGATGACAAAATCAAGTTTACTAAAGAGTTGGAATCACCTGAACGCAGATTACCTTTTCTAGACTGCCTGGTTGAAAGGAAGGATAATGATTGTTTAAAAATTAATATATTCCGAAAGATTACATATTCAGGGAAATTTTTAGATTTTAAGTCTGCGCATCCATACTCGACCAAAGTGACAGTGGCCAAAAATTTGATCACCAGAGTCAAATAATTTGTCACTGAACCAAATGATATAAAAATGGAAATGAATTTAGTTGTATCCACTCTATTAATGAATAATTATCCGAAAGGTTTTATTAAAAGAATAATTAAGAATGAAGAACGGAATGATATTTTTTAAAAAAGAGTTAAGCAAGGTTGGATGAACACAGTAGTGATCCCATATCGTAAAGGTATCTCAGAAGACATCAGAAAGATTTCAACTCGTCAAAATATAAGAGTATTCTTTCGAACAAACAATACTCTAAGATCAAAACTAGTAAGAATCAAAGATCCAATACACAAGGATGAACAACAGAATTGTGTTTATGAAATCAAATGTAATGACTGTAATGCAACGTATGTAGGTGAAACATCAAGGCAACTGAATGTGAGGGTGAAGGAACACAAACTGTGCTTAAAGCACATTCCTAAATCCCCAATTGATGTAAAAAAAAAAGCTTGAGAACAGATCAGCGATAGTATTACACTCGATTGAATCGGGTCATACAGTTGATTTCAATAGCACGAGAATCATTCAAAAAGGATTTAATTCTTACAAAGAACGACTAACAGCCGAAGCCCTACATATATGGGCTAATTCAAACAATATTAATAGGAGAGATGCAATACAACTAGCTGTCCCATGGCAACTAATAATTAATAAGTAAACCTGGTCTCCTTGCAATTTGATATATCTATACCATAGTAACTAATTGGTAGATAATACGTTCAATGATTCAAATCCGTTATCTTATCTAAATATGTTAAACAATTGACTGGAACATTAAAAATAACACACACCTTCAGTTACATATACATTCCTCTTTTATTTTGTTTACTTATCTTATTTATCTTCATTTAATGCAGGCTGTGGCATTTTTGATTCATTTCATATATAAAAATGATCTGTTTTAATATACACAGACCGAAGTCAATATTTAGTTGAATGAAATTTCTTCTCACATCACTTGCGTATAAACACATTCTGTTGTCTTAAGACGTTTTGGTTTCATAACACATACATTGTCCTTATGTGTACAAAAACAATTTGTCATAACCTTGAATTTACATTGTATTCCTTAAGTCATTCTATGGCCTAGGATAACACGACAATTTCTTATTCTTCCTTTCCCCTTGGTTATTTTCAAATGAACTTTTACTTGTTTGACCTTTATTATTTTCACATAAACATGTCTCTTACACATTAATACAAATACCTATTTATAAAAAAATCCTTCACGATGATTGGATGACTTATTCAGTATACAGTAAACCGAAGAACCTTGTACCTATTTATATTCGATAATTTTGTTGTTTGATATTTTCCTTGAAAAAGCTTGGACCAGATTGCCAGGCGAAACGTTGGATTTACTTAAAATTCATTCGCTGAGATTTTACAAATATATTCTTCTTTTTAATGTCTCACATTAACTCGGCGCCCAAATATTGTGGAACTATTCGTTCAAATTTAAACGAAAGTTCTTATTTGAGGTTACGTATTATTCAAGGGGTAAGGAAGAAAATAGTTTATGGGTCAGATATTGGTCCAATTGACAAATATACAAGTTTTTTTTATCAGAAGGGGGTTTTTTGTGGAGATTTTAGTAATTTCAATTGCTGAGATCATGAGTCAATTGAAGCTAGACCACCATGGAAAATCTGGAAGCACTGGACGGCCGTTTCGTTAACAATGATGCTTATAACTTATAAACCAATTTTTATGATTAGACTTACCTTTATGGATAGTAAACATTGCAGTTAATGAACTATCAGCTATGGGTGAAACGAGTATTTGTTTCAAAGCTTATCTAGCATCAATAGCTTCGTCTTATTCCACATCTGCTTTGTAATGCTTTTCTGAATAAATTTTATACTTCCTGGATACTTTTAATATTATTTGTCTTGGCAATCTGGAGAAAATAATTTGTTTCACCAGATTCAGTTTGTTTGCTGATCAACAATTTTAATGTATCAATAAGCAACTTTTCTATAATGGTAATCAATGCATAAACAATAGTTTCTTTCACATTCAGTCGGTTTAATTTTAAGGCAATAAAATATGTTTTCGGTTTTTTTAGCAAAAACAATCCAACTTGCAACATCGAACAAAGTAAACAATTATCATCATACGATCATACGCATATTCAAGATAAATTGTTATTTGATGGTAAAGAGCCTAAGATTTTGAAGTCCCATCAAAGTAACAAAAATCATGGTCATCATAAGTATCACGGTTATCATCATTTTAGACATAAACACAAAGAAAAATCGAATCCTGCTCCAACACATTCGAATTCAGAAAAATATAATGACAAATTATGCATCTTACCTGATGCAGTATCTAACTCGTGTTTCCCTTCATCGCCTTGCATAGCATTGGAAAGGGTTAAGCAACCTGATAGTTTGGATAATTGTCATTCGGAAAGCGACTTCACTTCCCCAATATTAAATTCAGTTGAAATGATTCTTAGAATAATATCTCAGCAGTTATGGAATGATCTTACACAGTGGATGAAGATGTTATTATGTAAGTACAAAGCATCTGTGTTTGTTGCTTTAAGCATATTTTCTTTGTATGTTCTCAACCAATATAGATTTTGGAGTTTTAACAACTAAAGGAGCTGACATGGCTTCGGATCACCACCTAATTGTGAACAGCTGGAGAAACATCATTACAAAAGTTCACTACATCCTTCCTTCGACATACTGACAAACTCAACGAATTCAGGACAGCTCTCAACAACAGGTTCCAAGCCTTACAGGATCTACTCAAACAAGAAAAAACTACTATGGACGACAACTGGAAAGAGATCAAAGAATCACTAACTTCAACGTGTCAGGAGGTTCTAAGCGCATCTAACATCATCATAAGGAATGGACCTCTATAGAAACCTGAACAGGATTCAAGAAAAGAAGAACAAGAGGACAATAATTAACAATGGTGGAACAAGAACAGAGAAGGTCAAGGCACAAGCTGAGTACACAGAAGCAAACAATAAAATCAGGAAGAGCGTCAGAGCTGATAAGCAGAAATACATGGAATACCTAGCAATGACAGAGGAAAAAGCTACAAGAGAAGAAGCATAAAACAACTATATGACACAACGAAGAAACTAGAAGGGAAATATAGTAAACCAGAGACACCAGTCAACGACAAAGAAGGCAAGCAACTCAGTGAGATTCAAGAACAGAGAAACAGATGGGTCGAACACTTTGAGGAATTCTTGAATCGACCAGCTCCACTGAATCCACCGAACATCAAAGCAGCACACACAGACCTTCCTATAAATTGCACTCCACCAATGATCGAAGAAGTCAGCATGACCATCAGACAAATCAAGAGTGGGAAAGCAGCAAGACCTGACAATATACCAACCGAAGAACTGAATTTAGACGTAGAAGTAACTGCAAACATGCTCCACGTTCTATTCAGGAAGATTTGGGAGGAAGAACAAGTGCCACTGACAGACTGAAAAGAAGGATACCTCACCAAGATACAAAGAAAGGAGATCTGAACATGTGTGAGAACTTCGGAGACATCACACTACAATCGGTACCAAGAAACGTTTTCAACAGAGTGTTGCTGAACCAGACGAAAGATTCAGTAGACGTCCAGCTTCGAGATCAACAGGTCGGATTCCGTAAGGATCGGCCGTACACAGATCAAATCGCGACACTACGAATCGTCGTTGAGCAACCAATTAAATGGAACTCGTCACTACACATCAACTTCCTCGACTATGAGGAAGGATTTGGCAGCATGTATAAGAGGAAGATCAAAGAACACACTGCTTCGAGAATTGGAAGCAGACATCAAAAGAATCAATAACAACTGGAAGCAACTGGAATAGATTGTCCAGTACAGAATTGGATGGAGAATACCGATGGGTGGCCTATGCTCCTACATGAGGGGTAACTTGAGTAAGTAAGTAAGTAATACTTACAATCCTATTTTGTGGAAAATAACTAGGTCCAAATCGAAAACTGTCATTATGTTTCTTATTTATTCAAATTTTACTTCAACTAACAAAGTAGTTTTCTTATGATGAATCCTGAAATGTTTATTATTTCATTGTCAGCTGAGAATACGTTTCCGAACTTAAACAAATATGAAACTAATGGAATTAGTCAGAAAGCTTCTCACAGTCCATTTCAATCTCATCTGCTACACGATACCACTTTTTCACGATGCGATTCATCAGTTGGTGATGCACAAAATCCATCCGCTTTGCCATCATTTCGACTATTTAAACAAACAAAGCATTCTAATTCAGATACACCAAATTGCCTCATCGGTCAACACGCTGTACAAACTCATGAGTCAAATATTGAACTTGCCGATCTATTGCAAATTTCAACCAAAACACTTCAAACACGTGAAAAGTCGTTAGTTCAGTAAGTCTTATTGAGTAAAATCGTATTGTTATTGTTTAAAAAACTGATGGCATATTACTATTAACTCAGAAAACGAAATTTCATCTGTTCTCTTAGTCATCATATGTCAACCTCATGGGATAGGTTTAACACGTTTGAGTTTCCTTAATAAGTGGCTGACAGAATCAGCGTGCAATCAAGCAAATTAATGTGTGCACGCAATCTTCCGTGTTGCTTAGGCGAAAATAAAGATCTAGTTGGTTCTCATTCATGTTAATTAGCTCTTAAGCCTTTTTGCCCAAGACATTCCTAAACAGACTTCCTCTATTTTCAGTATGAGATTGTGAAGATTGTTGAATTCCATTGAAATCATGAAGTGACTAATGTCAGACCACTATTGAAAACCTGGAAACAGTGGACATCCGTTTCGTTCTAGTGAGTTTTATGGAGAAGCCTTGACCACTGGAGTCCAACGTTGTCGGGTATGAGGCAGTTAACCACTGGACACAGTAGAAGATGGTCACACAATATCGTGGATTGGTTGATGGTAGACGTTAACATCGTCGAATGCCGGCTCAGTGGTCTAGAGTTGAGGCGTTTACATGAGATCGGCGGCCCCAGGTTCGAGTCCCGCGTGCAGGGTCATGGATGAGCACTATTGATGAGTCCCATACGAGGACATGACAGCCATCCAGTGCTCCTAGATTTCCGACGGCTATTTATCGTTGGCTGGTCCGTGATTTCAACGAGGTTTCTGCTATGTTAGAAGATACAAATTTGGTAACACTGCAAATCATTTTCATCTGTGTTTTACTAGCTTGGGGAATTGAGTTAGTAATCCCCTTAGTATAAAGCTGACAGATTCGCACTACATAAATCTATGTTTGTATTTTTTTTCATTTGCAAGGTCTCTGTGAGTCTTTCTTTCTAAATAGCTTGACAAGCCAATTCGATTATACTGAAAATAATTGAACCTAGTAACTGGCTAAACTAAAAATTACATTTGCAATCTGGTCTGTATATTTTATGTACCACAGCTAATGGCGTTTTGATGTTTTAGTGAGCTATCAACTGTGTTTCATTTTCTATACAGAATTGCTTTGTTATATATATCGTATATGAATAGTAACTTAGCTACTGGATGATTTCTGATATTCTTTTTGCATATTCATACGGTATCACTCCTTTTGTTTGCCACCTAGTACATATTTCCTTTTGTTACTTAAACAATATTCCTGATAATTTTCCCTTTTTTATACTCTCTACTTTACCTGACATTTCACCATAAATGATGGTGACATTTTCTTTCTCTATTAGACTTATATGCGTCGTTTTATGATTCTGTTCCTTGTGTTTTTTGTCTTTTTTTATTTAAAATTTATCTCTGACGCTGAAACAGAATTTCCCTTTACTTCCGTTAGTCTGGTCCTATTATTTATCTGATAGCAGTAGTGGTACTCCATACGAACACGACACTAACCTCACTAGTATGTATACTTTATGAGTTTAGTGTTTTGTTAATGACTTCATCTCCAATGTCGTTTAAACGCCGTAACTCGCTTCACATTGTCATACTTTTACAGTTTGCCAATAACAATGACTAAAATGAAGTCATCAGATTATGTGGCTTTATGTACTTTTAAGAAATTATGTCATATAATTTCTTTTAGATAAGGGAACATTTTTATCTTTCAAAGAAAAAAATAAGCATTCTGTAGTTAAAGTTTTTTCCAGGATAAGCTAAATAATTTTCCTAATCCAGAAATACATAAAAATAAGAACTAGAGTTGCATCTACATGATATTTTTAATGGCATGTTTTGGTTAATATTTAGTGTTGAGGCTTGGAATAACACTGAATTCAAGGAATTTAGCTTTGAATTCCAGTAAATTTAAAAATAAGTACTTAGTGTTGTTCAATCTACAGTGCAGTGGTAGGCAAATGCTTGTTATTTATTTTTTGATTATTGAATGGCATTTAAGAATCTCGTTGCACTAATTTAGATATGAGCAGCTAAATGCTATCACTAGCTTTCAAACATAAAAGTGCGGCCCAATATTCAGTGCATAAACCTGTGTTCCTTTGCTAAGTACAAAACGTTTTTCACTTCCTACAAATTTATTCTGGTTGATTTAACTCCTAAACACTGTTTTGTGACGTTAAAATAGTTCAGAAGTATCGGCATTCTAAAAATGTTTTAACCATAAATTTTATCGTTTAATGGATCATTTTTTCTGTTCTATGTTTTGAATTGTCAGTGTTTTTAATGGAATAAAGGAATTTGTCTTAATTATGATACAGTTTGAGTAGATTTTGTTGTTTAACATTCTTTTTGTTGATTAATTTCACTAATCCTTTTCAGGGAAAATATTGATCCTTTTACTAAAATACAGTACACTGGAAGTAACACAATTTTGAAAGACTCTACAAATAATCATTCAATATCTTCTGTAGGTGGTTCACAGTTGACATCAGTGACTATGACAACCATTACTACAGCATTATCTCGTATAAGTCCCCAATCTATTGGAACTATTTCTATCAACAGGCCAATATCCAGTTTAAACAATAAATCTGCAACCAATGTTCCACGTAAATTTATCCTTACGTGTAATAATTCTGTGCCTGAAATATCTCATCATAGCAGAACCAGTGGAGTTGCTGTTATTGGTGTTGCCGCTAACTTATACCATAATGAAAAACTTGCTCCATTAGATAGATTACGTACACCTCTACCACCACAATACTCTTCTATATCGGAGGAACCATCGTTTAGCACAGTATCATCAACAACCGCAAACATACATTTTACAAATACAGAGACTTCTCTTAACTCTACCTGTTCGGCAAGTTTAGCAAAATGTCATAATTTAAATGTTAGTCAGTTACTGTCCCCTGTAACAGTAAGTAATGCCTTAACTTCACTCCCACTAGTAATGACAACAACAATACTGCACACCGTACCTAATTCAATAAACAGCAGTAGCCAAATTCTCTCGGTGAATACAACCAATATGATGAATGAAACTACAAGTTCAGGGAATTTCACGTTACCCCCGTTGTCTAATCCAATAAACATTTTATCAACCGTCACCACAGCTATATGTTTTCCTCCATCCAACTCTTTAAATATAGAATCAAGCCTGCCAAATCCGAAGATTAATTTATTTACAAATAATAAAACTGGATTTGGAATATATCAAGGTAGTGAACAAAGTAACCAGCATACAACACATTTGCATAAAAAAATATGTGAGAATTTAGTTGCGAAACAGAACAACATTAGCAATACTCTTGGGAACACATCTATTTTTACACAAAGAATTCCATCGAAATTGTCTATGCATTGGAATCAAAATTCTCCAAAGCAAGTAAGTTAAAATCTGTGAGGTGTAATTAAAATTAGATTTTGTATTTTGTTGAATAATTTTAAGAATATATGACTATTTCCCATAATGTCTACTTCTGTCTATGCGTGTCACCAGAAGCACCAATTATTCATTTTTTTAATATCTATGGAAACCATAGTAATTTAGCTTGAAATCACTTGTAATAATTGTTTAACTAATTCAATGCTAAGAACAAATACACGAAATGTCAAAATAAATGTCATATGTGGGTTCACACAACTTGCAATACACGATTAGAAAAGATAGTGTTATGTTTAAGAAAATTTCATAACTCATTTATATGACCAAGTTTATTTTATAAGATAATTGTAAATAGATTTGCACCGATACCACACTATTGGACAAACAATATGGTTGTTAACTCCAGCACCATATAACTCTTCGAGCCACGACATATCAGAAGATAAAGCCCGGCTTGTTACTGAGACGTATATATTTTAAGGAAAAATACCATTCTATTAAATAAGGGTTTCTTCTAATTGATTGCTAGTTGGATTTTAGTCAGTCAGTTATATACAACGTAGAACCTGGTGCTTATGTACTTTAGTTCAAACCTCCATACCTCATTAGCACAGATATATGTATTTCTCAGGCCATATTGTACAGTAGTAGAGGTAGTAACAGTATCAGTGATGATAGAAAAGATCGGGTATTGAAGGTACAATTTAAAGAAAAATAAATTATTGAGATGAAAAACGTTTTGTACGTAATTTAGAAACTTGTGATATAAGGAAAGAAAAAATTTGAATTGATTCTCGTCAGTTAGAACGATTTTGAGTTGTCTCCAAAAGTCTCTAATCATTAGCCAAATTTAATTAATTAGAACCTAAACAAGTGTCACACTGAACAAATGTCATACTGAACGAGTACTCATATACCAGAAATTGTCAGAATACAATCTCATTTCACACTGAAATAGTCAGTAACTAAAATTGTTAAAATATAATCCAAGCTTATACTGAACGATTAACATACTGAATAAATCCATAATCTCGCTTTTGATTGCTTCCCATTACTTACATAATAGTACAGCGATAAATGGTGTCTTAGTTGAATTTTATTGAACATTTAGTATACATTTTATTAAAACACAAATTTCAGCGAAGGGATCTCTTTTCAACGAATTTATTATCAAGCTGTACAATCGTATATATATGAAAATTTTTTTTTGTTTTTGTAAAAGTACTAATTCCGTGAGGAAATGTGAACACAGTTAATATAAAGGTTATAATACTAGATTACGTAATATGAATAATAACAATAACAATGGATTTGGTGAATATAATAAGATGATTAAAATGATTAAAATGTTTTTGTTATAATAATTAAAGGTCATAGAGGTGTACAAAAATAAACTGATATGATGAGCGTTCATGAATAAAACAATGAGAATATAAGACATAAGTAAAGGAGAGAATGCAGTAATAATAATAATAATAATAATAATAATAATAATAATAATAATAATAATAACATTAATGATAGGATAATCAAACTAATTAAGGCCAAGATAACGATAACGATAAGACGTACTTCTTTTGTACGCTTAGTTCTGGTTTAAGCTCCTGGATGGCAAGAGCTTCGACTATTTTTAAAAGTTGGATACGAAGAAATCTGGGTAGATTTGAACGAATCATATAAACAACCTTAAAATCAATTTGTGGATCTGTTGAATGGTTATAGTCGATTAGGTGTTCAAGAATAGAACTCCTAACTGCTTTCCTTTCACCCTTATAGAACCAGGCTGGGATATGTTCTCGTATCCGAGTTGAAAGCGAGCGCTGGCTACGGCCAATGTACCTTGCTCCACAAGAGCAGGTGAACTGGTAGATGCACATGGAGGCGACCAGACGCGGGAGCTTACCTTTTATGGATACAGAAAATAAGTTTCTACTAGTGAAGGATATTCGCAGTTTTGCCGCGTTAAATGTTCTTCTAATAGTTGTTGTTAGACGGTTTTTGATTACGTCCGATGTTCGGTCACCCTTAAATTCCAGACTTATATAAAGGTTTTTCTTTGGAACGGAACAACTAGAATTCTTCTCGCGACTACTTTTATTCATATTCTTTTCTATGAACCGTTCTGGGTAACCATTTTCCGTCAAAGTCTTCTTCAGGAATGCGAGTTCTTCGTTAATGCATTCCGTACTGCATATGTGATGTATGCGATGGCATAAAGAATGGATAAGGTTTCTCTTCCTACTTAACGGAACCCAGCTATAGAAGTTAGTTAGCTGGCCATTCCATGTTTGTTTTCTAAAGATGGATCTTTTTAAAGAACCATTACTCGTTCTCATCAGACGTACATCGAGAAAAGGAATTGATTGGTCTTGTTCCCTTTCTAACGTGAAGTCTATGGAAGGGTGGCACGAGTTAAAGGTATGTAGAATATCATCTAAATCAATATTATTGTCACAAACAACAAACGTGTCGTCCATGTATCTCACGTATATCAAAAACATTTTAATCATTTTAATCATCTTATTATATTCACCAAATCCATTGTTATTGTTATTATTCATATTACGTAATCTAGTATTATAACCTTTATATTAACTGTGTTCACATTTCCTCACGGAATTAGTACTTTTACAAAAACAAAAAAAAATTTTCATATATATACGATTGTACAGCTTGATAATAAATTCGTTGAAAAGAGATCCCTTCGCTGAAATTTGTGTTTTAATTTTAATGTTTAAATGGGAATTATCTGTCAATTGAAGAAATACATTTTATTGCCTGTTATATTTCAATTTAATTCTCCAACCCCTTAATATTACGGTGCTCACGTGTTCGAAATGGAGGCGATATCTATTCTCATATCACCTCTTAAGGATACGATTCTATATTTTATACTGGTATTCGTTGAAAATTTTCACTTTTGTTTTATATTATTCCGTTCCTATATTTAAGAAAAACAAAAGCTTGGTCTTTATTTCCAGAAGATTGAGTAGCAACGTACTAAGGTTCGCATAAAATTTATGATTGTATATAAGGAAGTAAACGATTGTTATTGTTTACACTAACCATCGGCATTCGTTTTCGGATTGGTCGTTTGAGTCTGATTGATCTTTAAGTCTGAAATTGGTCAGTCTGTTATTGGCATATTCGCATCTTGTGTGGATTACCTCGATATTACCTTAAGTCACAAGCATTATAAGCAAAGGTAATTAATGGATAGCAGTAGAATCCAGGTGGCACGTTTCGTTGTACCTGGGGCTCATCGGATGTATGTACCTGCAACCAATACAAAAATGAATTAAACTTCACTTCAGTGCACAAGCTAGTGGCTGTTTGGACTCTTGCTAAGTAGATAACACGATGGAGTTGGCAGCAAATGGTACTATGTTCGAGTGTTGGTGTAAACATCAACTCTGTGGCGTAGGTACACCCAGCTGACGAGTCCCAAATAGGACGGAACAAGGGTCCTAGATTTCACTACTAGCCAACATCCATCTCTTCTTAAAACCATCAAGATCGTCTTGTGATATTTGCTAATTCAGGTGATGGGTTGACATGCTGAGATCAATATATTCAAAGAAAAATCCTTTGAGTTTTTAACTTTTATTTGCATGAAAAGATTTAAGAAAACCTAAAATTTCATTCCTCATTTCTTCTATTTATGATGAAAATAAAATCATTAAACATACGGATGAGATTAACCATATTTCCCACCACTCAAGAATTTGATACCATTTTCGTTCATTCCGGTTGTATTGCTATGGCTTTAAGGTATGGTTATTCAATAAATTTATCCGACGGTCTTGTGTATGAGGAATTTGAATATCCAGTAGGTTACTAATTAACTACAGTGTGACGGCGGTCTGGATACTCTATTATCATGGTGTACAACCAAAAATTCATTTTTTTTCAACTGAATCATCCTCCAATCCCAGGTAACTACTTTTGGTTTCTTGCTAAGTAGAGCCTGTTAACATTTAATTGTTTTTATCAGAATGTGTTTTTTTTGTGGAGATTTTTAGAAATTTTCACAGATTGAACTCATGAGTCAGTTGAAGCTAGACCACCATTGAAAACCTGGAAGCACTGGACGGCCGTTTCGTCCTAGTATGGGACTCCTCAGCAGTGCGCACCCACGACCCCGCACCACCCGGGGCTCGAACCCAGGACCTACTGGCTTCGCGCGCGAGCACTTAACCATTAGACCACTGAGCCGGCATCCAACGGTGTTAATGTCTAACTTCAACCAATTCACGAAGTTGCGCTACCGTACACCATTGTCTTCAGTGAGTTCCTATCTCACAACAGACCTGGTTGAACTCCACTGGTAACGACTTCTCACTAGAACTCCAGAAGTGTCTCCTGAAGTCAGTCACTAGTGAGCAGGTGATTGTTATTATCAGAATGTGTTTTTTTGTGGAGATTTTTAGAAATTTTCACAGATTGAACTCATGTTGTGAGATAGGAACTCACTGAAGACAATGGTGTACGGTAGCGCAACTTCGTGGATTGGTTGAAGTTAGACATTAACACCGTTGGATGCCGGCTCAGTGGTCTAATGGTTAAGTGCTCGCGCGCGAAGCCAGTAGGTCCTGGGTTCGAGCCCCGGGTGGTGCGGGGTCGTGGGTGCGCACTGCTGAGGAGTCCCATACTAGGACGAAACGGCCGTCCAGTGCTTCCAGGTTTTCAATGGTGGTCTAGCTTCAACTGACTCATGAGTTCAATCTGTGAAAATTTAATTGTTTGAATATTGCCATTATTTCTACTTTGCAATCTAATCCCAAACTTCTCGTAAATAATAAAAAAGTATGGGGTTTCGAATGAAAATTTATATGAGCACAATATTTTGTTGACGAAAATAATAAACCTTATTGTTCACTGTTTCTACTTTTCTTATCATTATTGTTTTTCATAGAACTCGAGAAAATATAATTGCACTGGACTCGTAAATTGGACAAAAATTTCTTCCAAGAGACTTCTGGTTTAAAGAGTGTAGTTAACCAGGCTTTTTATTCTTAAATCTTCTCAAACATTAAAAGAACTACGTAATTTTTTATCATGTTTCTTTTGTTTCGTCCAGGCTTCATTTCCTTTACCACCTATTGATATATTTAAAGACCGATTTGGAAGAAAACAAAAGCTGTGGCGACCATACAGTTCAAGACCGTTATTATTAAATAAACCAATTACGAATCCTTCTAGTATGTTGACAAGAGCTTGCTCAACATTGTTAATTCAAAACCCTGAAATTTATAATGACTCATGCTCAATAAAAATAAGTAGGTTATGCTTCATCTGTGTTTGCGCTTATATTTTGAATAAATGAATAGCATAAAAATTGCCTAAAGACTCAATAACAGTCGTTAGAATACACTCCTATGAATGATAATGCAGCCTTCTGACTGACAAAAAAGCGATCATCATTGATCATGAGAAACAAGTGATACTTTTTTCATTTAGGTTCTTTTTAGTGGATTCACATTACGTAATTTTTTAACTGATATCTGTCTGAACACAACAAAGCTAAATACTATTGACACTCGTGACTAAGGTTCCGCAGTTTAGGCTGATTGAAATTGCTCCTTAAAACATTTGTACACAGCCTTCCAAATAATCATCACTGAACACAATCATAATGAGAACTGAACCGCATGTTTGAAAAAAAAGATCGAATTTTCAAACCCCTACTAACTTTATTATCCTAATCTACAGAGCAATAATCTAACTGTCTCAAACTATTGATGTCATTGTGTATTTTCAACGATCTCTCCAAACAATATCTGAACTGTAACTTTCTATTATTTTCTTCATAGAACCTAATTTAGTTTCATCATACCACTGGTCCAACGTGCAATATTTACTGTTCTTTTATTACTTTCTTCCAGTTACTTTTTTCTTCCCTTTCTGTCTCTAATAAGGTCCAGCAATTTTTATTGGCTCTACAACTAACCCCATAAGAGGTAATGATGCAGTTACACGTTAATGATTACATCCAAATTATTATTAACATGAAGTTAAGCAGAGATGTGTTCGTGAGTGATCGAGCCAAGCAAAGGATATCTTCATCTTCAGGCGTTTCAAGAAAGGAAACTATAAAACAGTTTTACGTTTGTTGCAGGTAGATAGAAAGAATAATCTTTATGAACCGTTATATATATAATGTGCATTTTCACATATGTATATCCACGTATTACTAATCACATTTATTATTCTGCAACTGACCATGTATTTGAGTTTAGCTGTAAATAAGAAATCAACGTATTTAAATCATTTATGAACCGAGAAAACTAATTAAATATGTATTTTTTTAAACTTGTTTAAACTCATTTGTGTCAAGACATGTATATATTAAAATATATATTGTTTTTAATAATTATGTAATTATGCAGTCAGTTGATTACATTTAATGGTAAAATTAGAGAGCAGCTGATTACAGATTGGTCCTCGTAATCAGAACCTAATATTAACCAGTAACGACTAATGAAAGTGGACACCGATAACTATAATATACATATAAGAGAATAGTATTGTTTGTGATTAGATTTTTGCCAGGTTTTGTTTACTCTGATTTGAAATAATATGTTTATCCATATATTTAAAAAATATTAAACAAGTCTAAGCGCTTGGTGAGTTATTGACTACAACTAAATAGACTACATAACCATTCGTAATAAATAGAAAGTATGCACTGATAGTAAAATGACATCGGTATCTGTAGTGATCAAAATAATAACAATAATAATTTCAGCAGAGGAAGTATGTTGAAACTTGAAAAAATCGTGTGATAAAATGTAAATGGATAATCAGTTCAAATACTTAGGTAGTGAATATCAAATGAGGAAGAGATCAAGCGAATCAAGGGTTGATGTAAAAAAATAGTCTAATCGCCTACTAGACGTTTTCTAACCATAGAGTGGATAACTTCATTACAAGTCTTTTCGATACAAAGATTAGAGTTGCTAGCTTGGATATTCATAGTCTCTCCTGAAGGTAAAAGGCGAGGTCGCATCCTATTAGGAAGACTTGAGGGTATACTATGAATACTTCGATTTTATCGAGCACATGACCACCATTTATCAAGTGTGACAGAAAAGTTCTGCGTATAGATTTTGTCTGACCGTTTACAATGAGAGATGCTCGCCAACCTGCTAGCCAATTTGACTGTTACTGTGGCCATATGACTTTCTCAACATGACTAGCTGAACTCATAAATACATATTGAGACGATAAGACTAGGTAACATATTCTTCAATTAAGGAACTGGTAAACGACAAATAGATATTATGTGCACACGATGTCTTTTTCACAGCCCTGCTTAATCTATCGTATCACACATCACTAGTTATATTGCCGTTATATTGTAGCTTCAGGAAGAAAGGGTCTTTACAAACAGCTCATGGATTTGACTTCCTCTTAGTTGTTGATATATGCTTATTCATAAGACTCTGTGAGTAACCTATTCTAATTAACAAATTATGTATAACCGCAGTTCTTTATTTTTAGCGTCGTATGAGCATTTGCTCTGTTTGAAAGGCATTTAATTCGGTTTCTATTGTAATGTATAGGTAAGAAGTTAAAAACCACTGTGTACCAACACTCAAGTAAACGTTAACTATGAGCGCCGCTACTGACAAACTCATTTTCCTTTCAGTTTAACAAGACGTCGAAGAAGTGCTATTTACTGTCAAGTTCCTCACGAGTAAACATGTTTGTCGAGAGAACACTGTGAATTTACCCTACTATTTCTCATCGAATACTCTAATAGACGTTGATCAATGTATAATCCAACCTACCAGCAATCTCCTTAATATATTCATTTAATTTTGCAAGAAAAAAGTCAAGTAAGATAGAGCCTAAACATGATCCTTTATCTATACTATCAATTTGTCTTTCACAAATTGTTTTAGAAGGAATGAAAGTATATTGTGTATCTTTAATGTAATTATTTGAAGCTAGCCTTCGAAATTCTAATATTGGTTTTCCTGATAGCCGTTAAAACACAATCGACTATCTCAATTATTAATAAGAAACTGTTCACTTAAATGTCTTATTCTAACGTAAATTTATCATGCTATACAATGCAGTCGTAGAGTTTGCAGTAATACTAATAGCTAAGTGACTCAGAACTACAATTTACCTTATTTTGTTCAAACTTAATGTGTCCAAACTATATGTCCCTGCTATACGTGGAAATCACGATTTGGTTCTCCGATTTTTTCTGCCCCTAATTCATAAGACCTTTGAATCCATAACTAAAAGTGATTGGTTTTTGTCTTTGAGATAGTATGCATATTTTAGAGGTTTTTTATTTTTATCTATCACTATACTATATTTAAACCGATAAATAATATTGCTAGAAATTATAGATATGCGGAGTTTGATATTTTAGGTTGCTATGTCGAATTTTTTAGTGATGAACCAGAGATTGATTTGCATTTATGCTTTCTTATATCATTCGTTCAAGAGCTTTCAGCAATATTTGAGCTGGTACTTGGATTGTTTTTCTGGAGATTTCTGAAGTAGTATTTTCATGGGGCAGTTTGAGTTGATCGTTGAAGTAATGCATATTTTCTTAGTATCTTACAATCTGTATCTTTCGGACTGATTACTGCAGTTACTGTTTGAATTTATACTTTTTTACCGTTTACTAATAGTTTTTACTGATACTTAGCAATATTTTCTATAAATCAACACGTTGCATGTTACCTGCATTAAACGATAGTTTGTATCTTAGTTGAAAACAATGTTTGTACCAATAAAAACTATTCAGTTAATATGTTTATCATTTTTATTTATTCCCATCACTTATTATGATCTTCATCTGCTTTAATATTAAATTATTTAAAGAACTACTTTAATATACCTGTTTTAATTTTAATTCATTTGTACTGGTTGTACAAATCTTCCCAATGATGTTTATTTAGAACGACTAATGATCAGTCTCTTTTTGGTGTATTTGCATCCAGCACGGATTGCCCCCGTATTTCCATTAAGTCACAATCATTTACAAAGGAGATTTTTCTCAATTTTCAAGGGTCAAATAAAGTTGAGATTATTAGCAGACTAGTCAGCTAATTACCTCCGTGTCATTAACCGAATTATGTATAAATAAATATCAAGTGGTCCTGAATATTACACCATAAGGGGTTGAACATGTTGATTACTCTGTAATAACATTTTCCAGAGTTTAACACGAACTGGATGACCTCATCGAGATGCTAAATCAAATTCACCCGATCACGTAGAATAATTGAAAGAGAACGTTTTTCAAAGAAAATCCGGGCATATAATTCCGTTAGCAACTTCTGAAATTTTTATTATAAGAGCGCAAAATGTGTAAGCTACTGTTTACGTGTTGTTGCCTGATAAGATGAATGTAAAGTGTATTTTATACTTCCTTTTTAAAAGTACCTTTACACTAAGGAATTTTAAAACTTATCTTTATACCATATTTTATTCAGTATGTTCTCCTAGTCCTTTTTCGATCTTAACTGTATGGGAATAGAACTATATCACTAGGTTTCAGCATAGCGTTGATTTGAAAATAAGTCGAGGCAACAATTCATTCAAATGTTTCTTTTTATGAATAGTTCCTATAATTTATACTTCGGCTGCTTTTTGAAATTCTATATTATAAGTAGACTAGATAAAGTAATAAGTCACATGAGCGTAGTTTTCCTAATCTTGAACCAGAGGCTTCAAAATCAGTCAATCATCGATATGGTAGGATCAGGCATATATATTAATTCGTTCACGTTGCCATACCTCATTAGCATAACAAGATGAACACAAAATTCATTAAAGAAGTTACTTCAATATTAGTGATGTATAAAAGAAAGATCGTGTATAAGGATATAAAACAGGAAGAAAGAATTAGAAAGATATAAAGTAATTTTTATTTCACGGTTTAAGGGCAGACAAAGAGTGTATACACCTACGTCATTTTGATCGATTCCAAGCAATGTCACCCAGGACCTCCAACCAATGGTTGCGATGCCGCGTGGACCCCAACCAAGTAGTTTGCATCTACCAACATGTCTCATATCAGAAGTTCATGACTTTATGGACTGATGCCATGTTTTGGTTTGACCGCCCCTAACTTTCTTCCATCCGTCTCCAACACTAGTCAGCATTGCGCGTCGTGGTAGTCGGTGGTTGAACATGCGCAATACGTGACCCAACCATCTCAGTCGATGTAGATTCACAACCTCACCAACTGATTTACCATCATTCCCTAATAGCCTGAGTCCAACCTCACTATTACTTACTCGGTGATCCCAGAAGATGCAAGCAATATTTCTAAGAAATCTGTGATCAAATACTAGTAGCTTACGAGTATCTTCTCTTAATGGCCAGGTTTCGCAGCCGTAAATTAAAACAGAACGAACTGCTGTGCAGTATACCCTCCCTTTAATTGATAGACGGATATTTTGCCTTCGCCATAGGTGACGTAAGTTGGCAAAAGTCAAACAAGCCTTTTGAGAGAGATTTCGTCTGACACAGGAATTTTTCTCCGCGCAGATCTGTTAGCGGTTCACTGACAATTTTGATTACATTCAAAACGTAATAAAAGTTTGCATCTATGCATGGATACATTGTTTTAATTGTTTTAGAAACTCAACACGTTTTCCTTTCAATTCATTCAGAAATCATTTTTCCTAACATTTAGTTTTCCACAAAAGAGGACAGATTATGTAAACCTTAGATAATCATTACTTTGAACTATTTGCTTTTGAAGTGTATACGCAAAATGTGTATACGTTTTAAACCATATTATAACATACAGATTAGTGAGTTAAAATATCACCATTTAAGTGGTGGTTTATTATCATCGTTTAAATCTTCAAATTAGAATTAAGTCATGAGTAGGAACTAAGAACCTATAATAAACTTATCCGCTCAAACTGTCTTGTTCTAAACGTGCGAATAAATAATTTCTACTTCACTCAAATTTTCTTGTTGGCTGCACTTCGCTGTGCTGATTTCACACTTGGTAGGCTAAACCTACATTCTAACGTATTGTCTCACGAACAAATTCCTATTCATATGTGCTGTCCAAAAAGTCATTGATATTGATATGAGTTTTCCTAACTGTTAAGACCAACCGAAACCTCACGAAAAATTTTTATTTCCGGTATGTTCTCATGAACAATTTACTGTGTTTCGCCTATCCTCGTGTCACATAACAAACAATTATTTTTCGTTTGCACTACAGATAAAGTTATTTAATAGGATAGAATTTTCGCGTCACCAATTTAAATTTTGGTTTTAGCTAATCAAACATAGATTGTACTATAATGTTAACAGTTTCTCATGATTATTTATGACTATGGCATACGCGGATCCATACCAGCTCTTGTGTAAATATCATCAATAAAAGCTTGATAATTGACGTTGTTTGCTAGACCCATTTGATGACAATATTTGCAATATAATGCAATCCATTCTCTTTCTGTTAATGACTCCCCAAGTCCAAGTGTCGTTAGAACACGACGAAATTGACTTTGATTAACCGTTAATCGATGAGTTTCGTCAAAATCACTGAACATTGTTAACAGTAGTATTCTACGTTGTTTAACCTAAAAGTAAGTATGAACAAGGTAAAAAACAAAAATGTAAACATTCCAATCGGTTTGAAATACTGTCGGTGACCTGCTCAAACTTTTAAGCCGCTTATATTTCAACTACATAAATATTATATTACCTGATTCGGATTTCTTTATGTGAATGTTAACTCTGTGTCTACTCATGTATACATCATATAATGATTACAAATTATTTGCAGTACTAAATGCTGAAAAACTCAAACAGAGATCCTGAAATTCTTGACACATTATCCTTTGACGAAGTCAAAGACAAATATATTGGAAGGTCCTTGACCTTACAAATGATGGATGGAAAAATAGTTGTAGCAGCTAAACCTGTAGACAAGTATAATTAATAATAAATGTTAAAACGGCTTTTTTGTGTTTTAAATAATTGTAATTTAAACGCATGTTACAGAGATATTTGTGGTAATATTAAACAATTAGTGCTGAGAATTCTTTACTGTGCCAATATTTATGGTATTAAATACAGTGATTAGCATTATTCAGTATCAGTGAAACAACATGATATAATCCATCAAAAGTTATCTTTACTGTTTTAATAACTTACTTTAGCTGCTATCTTAAATAAAGCCTCGTCAGCAGATTTAGCTAATTCAGCTGTCAAGTGGTTCTGGGCAACTGATGAATCAGGTATATACGTACCAGGTTCAATTAATGGATCTTTCTCTAAGTTTGGTGTTTGAAATACAGTCTCAACATCATTAACAAATGCCCGCCAGTCTACTGTATCAGGCATTGAACCTTTATATCTGCAAAAATAAATAAAATACGATGCTCGTAAATCACATATTATGTTATGGCTGCTACAAGAAAAACTTTCAATAGTACTATCATTCTCTTAAACATGGCATGTGTAGCATTAGATAACCGTGGTTGGGAATTTCATATTACTACTAACCGAGACACTAATAAATCCATTGCACTTGAATAAGAAATAACTGATGTATTTTTTATTCTACTGGTTACACACTTAGTAGATGGTTTTTTTACCTAATTACTAACTAAAAATACAAATTATTCTGTCTGATTATGAATGAAACTTTAAACAAACCTTCTTTTAAAACAGTTGAATGTAGCAACTAATGTTTGAATGTTTCTGTTTAATTTATCATTCTACACATTAAACTGTAGTTTACTAATCGAAATAGCATTTTATAATTCAAATGATACCATTCCTTAGATATTTTAAAAATATCTAATATACACCACCAAATTGAATAGTAAATGATAATAATGAGTTATGTTTTTACGAAATTAACCATGCTTTTCTTTTATCTATCTCAATACTTAGTGAAAATATATCAGTAAAATTAAATCAACCTACAGAAAAAGTGTTATATTGCGGCTTCTTTATAATCACCGATTTTGGATTTTTTTTTCAAAACATCTCGTATAACTTCAAGTTAATCAAGTATATGGTAATATACAAATCAATTGGATTATAGTAATTAATCGTATAGGTGCTAGTTATTCTGGAATATTATAGATTTGATTAGTGTGTTGTTTCACCTCACTATAAATCATAATAACTTAAACAACACCACTTTTTGTCGTGTTCTTAGACTTCGAGTATAAGTTTTGATTGCTTCTAAGGACCTAATTCTTGTTTAATATGCGTAACCTAAGAATCGATATTCGGAATGCTTTGAATATAATCTTTTTAAAAAAATTATGTAACATCATTTAATTGATCTTTTAATATGTTGTAGCTGAAATTGGTAATGTGCGTTGTTGATTCTTTCCATTGAATACTTTGAATTGTCTTAAATATGAGTTCATTTATTAACCCATTATACGTATAGAGTAGTTATCAAGTTAATATTATCCTGGTCATTAAATAATGTTATTAGATATAGACAACTCATTATTTATGTGCATTTATTTGCGTAATTTTTACTATTATCATAAATGCCTTCCTAATTTCTAGAAATAAATTGAGTGCTTATAATATTCAAGTTAATAGATAATACCAAGATATTTATTACTAAAGCTTAAAACATCTCCTTAGATTATGTATGATATTTATACCAAGTGCATATTGTTATGTCCAACAACAAGTCGTTTTTACTTCATCAACAAGCGGCTATCTATGAGGTGTGAATAAAATGAAATAACTCACTACCCAGCAACCGATTAAAGGATTTGTGGCCGCATTTCTGCATACTTCACAATGACCTGGTACATTCTCAAATGTCTAGTCGTCGTTAAATATAACGACGGGTTACTTCTTAAAATAAAAGCAAAAATGTAGGCATTATTAGCTAAAGCCATGTTTCACAGAACAAACGGTCCTGAAACGAAACCACTTTGTCGTTCTCTACTTTAGATTTTGCTTTTCTATTTAGTATAATAACATTTAAAATGGATCCTAAAGCTCTTTATATTGTAAAAGTACTCATTTCAGTAGAATCACTGATGATATAGGTTATAAGAACGTGGTTTCGCAAACTAGTTGCCACAATAAATCCCTTATATAAAAACTCTACTGAGATATCTGATGCTACTTAATATCAAAGTATGAATTCCTATATCAAACTTTGCGCTACACTTGTAATGTAAAGATGTATTCGAACCCATGACCTTATGAGTCAATGTCGATCATTTAAGGCGACCGACCCAGTACCTTAGCAACCAAATAATGACACTCATTTATGTAGATAAAATTCTTACTGCAATCGTGAATACATACACACGTACTACATAATGCAAGGAAATAGGTTCTATATGCAATTTGATTTATACAAAGTGAATTATTTAAATGCAAAACACCGTTAGACTATATAATCTTTTCATTCTTTCTTTTGGTCTCATCTGTTATTTGTCGAGAAGAGACTAAATGAAAGTACCTGTCTTCAAGAATATTTAAACTTTTCTCATTAATTTTTAGGTTGAGAACCCCTAGACATCGGCGAAACGTTATTCTTTGTAAGTATCCATGATTGAGTTTATCGTGATCGCGAAACCAATCAGATAATCTCAGACTTCTGCGGTATACCTACAACAAGATTTAACAGCATGACGAATTAGTTATAAGTAAAGATACAAACGTACTGATTGTAGATATAACAAAATACATAGCTGAGGTGTTACACCACTGATAATATTTTTACTGCCACATATATTTCGACAACAGTATGCTTAACTATCTTATCGAAGTATTTTTCAAGTCGTCTTATGAGAATGAAACGAAGTGATTTAAAGGAATAACGGTAATGAACAAGAGAAAGTGAAAGGACGGGAGGTGTACATATGCGAAACAACTATAGAATAAGCTTAATATTTCTTAAAATAGTTTAACCCCATATTTCTGTACACTACAGTATCGTCTAGGTTTTCCTTGATAAAACCACTCTGCAACACCATGATGCTTATTTGTAATTTGACTAATCCCTTTTATCATAGACTATTTATTATGTGATGGATAATCTTTCCATACAATGTAGTTACAGTTCATTTTGCTAAATTAAATTCTAAGAGCCAATTTGAGATTACTTATATGTTGGCATTCATATTTATTTGCGTTTATTTTCTGCTAATTGCATCAATCCAATGATATGAGCTAAATGCCACTGAGTTTATAAACCTTATCTGTAAAGCCTTAGACACAAATTCATCTGACACAAAAACCATAAGGTTTAAGATATTGTATTATTTTTTGAAAGATGTGTTTCTGCTTGGGTGACCGGATTGAAACATTTGGCAATTTAGAGAAACATCACCCGAATTCTCGATCACCATGCTAGCTAGGCATTAGAATTGATTAAAAAGTAAGTCCTCATTGTAGATAATGAATGCAATAGATACATATATCATTCATTTCTTTCAGATCCTACAGTTTCTCTATACAAAGATTTTACGGACTAGGTTTCTTCATTTCTTGTGGGAATATATCGCTGTCCATCTATCCGGTATTTAGACTGAATTACCTGATCTCAGTTTGATAATTTTATCGGATGCACCTCTACTAGATGACGGTGATGAATTAAAAATCCCTGGAAGAAGCTTTATAATGGTAAGATGTATGAATTTATTTAGCGATGATAAACACTGAACCTGACAAACTTTTAACAAATCAGAGCACCAAGGCAAATATACGGACAGGTTTAGGTAAAAAACAATGGAAATTGATATGATATATTGCACAAACCTAATTTCCGAATATCTCATTAAGTCGTTTATGCACTAAAATTTATCTAAAACTGGAAATATACCTCTGCTTTCAGTGTATCCATAATACCTTCAGCATCTCCCATTACCGGTTCCATTTCCGTTTTTTCTTTACTCAGCTTATTTATTCTCTGAGATGTAGCTAAACGTTCTGGATATTTATATTCGTTTTCTTCTAATTTCATCGGACAGAGGTGATTTAGAAAGTCCAAATAATTAAACCCATCATCATTGGCATAACGTGATATGATACCATCAATTTCTGCCGGCGACAAACAAAAACTATACATACTTATTAGTTGACGGAAATTATTTGTTGTCACTATTCCACGATGTAAACTGGGTTAAATATGAAAACAAATCACAATACACAGAAGTGAACAACAGAATTTACATAGTATAACTGGATTCAAATTGATGAAAAATGATGTAAATACTTCGGAATGTTGCAGACAAGAGATTCGATTGACTACCAGCAACAAAATACTCCAAAATCAGATTAATTGTAATAATAAGGATATCCTTTCATTAGAGCATGAGAAAAAGGGGTAGTTTAAAAGGCCGAACATCAAACAGGTCGGTATTAATGAAGGCAAGCATTGAATGGGAAAACAAATTTTTGGGGTTTACCGTCTATTCACTAACCATTGAATATCATTTTGATATGATGTTTTACAACCCACTTGTTTTATGCAATTGACCCATATCCGCCTGTCAATAAGAATCGTTTGACGGTAGGATATTCAAATTACTGTTGAATACTTTTTGAAACAAATCAAACATGGCGAAGGTGTGTGATTCGGATATTTTGTTAGATAAAGCTTTATCTGTCTTACCAATATACGTGCTACTCTAGGAACGGGTAAATGAAACTGGATTATTCACAAATTAAGGAAGCATTTAACTTGGGAAATGTGAAGATAAACTTATCAAGCTCATCTCGATCAGAGATATGGTAAAATCGTTGATCACCTGATTTGTGACATAAATTTAGGTGAATATAAATATAATTATTTTTATGTTATAGTCATAATTAATGAAAAACCGCTTCATAATAAATAGAATTTCAAATTATGATTTACGGACTTCGTGTTTCTACTTGGATTTACCGAAGGACTTCAAATATTACTGCAAATAGTGACAATAAACAAATGGCAGTCGAGATAATGCTATTCACTGATAAGTGAGATTAAAAATACCTCATACTGTAATTACTATACGTAAATTTCTAGCGTGAAAACTGTATTCTGAACTAATAAACTAACGAATACCTTAGTGTTATGAAAAAAATAGAGACCAAATAGAAAGTTACTTAACAATAAGTCAACAAGAAACCAAAACCAAAACACTTCCATAAATAACATTTTCAAATCACGTTATTCACTACATGACTTGGAAATATAATCATTCGTTCATGATATTTTTTGCCTAAATAGAATTATCCACTGTTTACTGTTGGCAGTAAAATCTTATTTATCAGGGTAATAAGAAATCTACAAAGTTGATTTCTATATTACTGATTTAATCAGCACTAATAAATTTACTGAGATTTATATCATGAACATCAACCCTTCTCACAAAATTAACTTTTAAGGTTGTGATTTCTTTGATTTAACCCCTTTTCCCACGTCAATAAATGTAATATGCTGTTTCAGAAACGAATGATAAAGAGACTTTTTAACAAACAATATCTAATTAATTAGCTTACAGACAGCTCTCCTCTGGAATCATATTGATACATCAAAAACAAAGCACACAATAGTTTATACTGAATCAAAATGGTTACAGTGAATAATATCTTGGAGCAGGATAACAGTTATAAATAACGTATATACAACAAAGCGACGAAACACTTACAAATCAAAAGCCGCAAAATTTGGAGTTAAATCCAACCGACGTTCATTTACTTTTTGTCTTAAAATTCCCATACCGTTTTCATAATTCTGTTTCATTTCTTCAGTTACTGATAACCAATCTGCTGTACCTGGTTTCGGTTGGATAAATGTTTCTTGTGGTAGCACACGAGTGAGTGGTTGTTTTTCCAACCCCGGTAGAGTAAACACTGACCGTATGAAAAGTGATGAAAAAAAACAATTAAAATATCCATGATATGTAATTTGGTTAGTAGATTCTTTACAAATATACCATTCTAAAAGTTGAGCTGCTCCGTTAGAATGCCTCCAGGGAAAAATAGTTTTCGTTTAGAATTACAAAATTATGTGATCACTAAAACTAATAAGCACTGAATCCACCAGAAGAGCGCAAACATTTGTTTGGAATGAGTCGAGCAGCATAGTTTAGAAATAGAAATGTCAGTAAACTGAGGAACCTATTTCTTAAGGACTGACTTTTATGTGGTTATTTGTATGAACTAATCATTCCTTTGTACTTGATGACTGTCTGGTTTCGAATTCGAAATACGATACATTCGTTCGTGCTGACCTAGTTCTCGTTGTCTAGATTACGTTATTTCTGGAATACCTAGTTTGTATAATAATTCAAATAACTCTGTCACATTTTAGTAGGGAGAAATTGACTTTACGTGAACTAAGAAGATGCAGTATCAACAGTAATCAGTTAATTATTGGTCTTAATTCAGCAGGAATACTTGGGCTACCAGAAACTAAGGCTTCTAGTAATCAAATTTGACTACATAATTCTTACTTGGAGGAGCATATGGAGTTTTGTACTGTAAATTGTAATTTTTTCTGCTGTATCTAAAATTCGTTAGTCTGTTAACAACCCACGAAATGGGTAGTATTGGGAACACCACGAAAAGTTTTTGATACATATAGTCTGTGAATGGTAGGGGATTCCAGGTGGAATATTTCGTCTCATTAAGGGCTCGTCACCTAAAAGTACCTGAATCCCAGTGTTGTTAACATTGGGCTCGAATCAAGTGATTTTTTATTCAAACACCTAATGAGTTATCTATAATAATGTTCCTATTTTTATATTTATCTGACTTCTGTACATGAAACGTTTGTATGAGAAACACAGCTGAGCAATGAGCAAGATGTATTTTCTTTCAAGAAATGAATTATGAGTTTTGTATGACGCATATAAATCAAAGTGATTTATATAAGAAAATTATAATTAAGTTGCTCTGGAGAAAATAAGGATTAAATGTAACAGAATCACAGTGATAAAGTTTTAGGCCTTTAACCGGCCACCAGTAACAATTAACAACTATAATTTTTCTCACTTGACAATCATTGCCAAGTTCATATACTGCTAATGCTTTGTACTTGGACACCAAATTGGACGAAGCTTAATGAAAATACAAAGAATTTATTTGATCCAGGAAATAAATCAAAATTTTGTATGAAAATATTATTTTTTTAGGTGATTTACTTACAGTCAGATTTGTGTGAATTGAATTGAGCATTATCTAATATCAGTTAATCAGTAACTTACTATTTGATCACGTTTTCAATATCCTACAATGAAACATATTTAACCAACAGATATAACTAAATGACTAAGTTACATGATTACTCCTTTTAGTGCTCCGTTGATCAGACTCCAACTTAAAAGAACGAATGAACAGTACATGAATATAAATCTTCCATTTAACTATGTATGTTACACCTAGGCTTACCCGTTTGTGTGACGGCGGTAATAAGAAGCCAAATACGGATGGAGTTGGATGAATTTTTTTTAGGTACTCGTTTACCTAAACAGACATCACAATTGAGAACTGAGAAAATAAAGTGAAACGGAGAAGCTGACCGGAAAAGGCAAGTGTGCTAACTTCGTTTGACAGAATTCGACTCGATATTTATGGCCAGGCAAAAATAGGCTAAGGACGTTTGATGAATAAGGTAAGTGATGCACACATATACGCTCATATAAAAATGGTCAAGCTTAACGAGTAACTAATTGATAAGGTCAAAATTTGACTCAGGAAAAATAAATAAATTGGTCTGCCGGAAAACAGAATAACCCATGTGAGCTTGAATTAGTACTAAACACTACATTTTCAAGATGTGATTACGTGTTACAGACGATCAATTTTAGATATCAATCGCACTTAAATCGTTTAAGTCATTGGTCACCTTATTTATCACAGACAGTTATCCTATTGGACTTTTAGTGGAACCACGATCCTCATTAAGAATGAATTGCGTAGATAACTTGTGAATCTTAATATTGCTATTGTTTAGAGAATGATTTTATGCACACAATGTTGTAAAACAACTGGTGAACAAGTACATGTCATGAGTGGTTTGTATACATTTAACTATTGCAGAAAAGTGAATAGTTCACTATGTTCTTGTCTCCTAATGTATATATCTGTTATGAAAGAGTTAAAATCAAATTAGTATTTATTGTATATAATATTCATGAATCTTCGCCTATCATCAACATGTCGTTAGTAGACCAATATTAAACATAATACGCGAAATTCACATTCCATATAGCAAGAATAAAAAGATTATGAATAAGTAATCAAATTAAATACATAAATCTGAAGACTTAAATTTACCTGTTTCTACATCATTAACAAATTTTATCCAGTTCACCATGTTGGTATCAGTTGAAGACACGTATCTGTCTGCCAAGATGTTTACTTGTGCCGGTGTAAGATCGTGCAGGTGTAAACGCGTTAGCCCTGCGGCGGTTAAACAACGTTCAAACTGAGATCGTGTAACATAACCACTACGTAAACGATCGAAATCATGAAACCCAGGTTTTAATGGTATACGGTTAACTAGAACCAAATGTCGGATACGGTTTAATAAAACCTCAACAGGCCATTGATCCCCAGCTGATATAATTACTGGCATTACTGTTGAGTGCCAATTTCGGTGAACTACACTTTTACCACAGCGTGTATCACCTATTTCAGGTGTGCGTTTTGTTATAACCTTGTTTGATACTTCGAAATTCACATCTTCTGGATTATCCTCATCGAATTTGACAGGGGCCGCAGCGGTAAACCAGTCATCTACCTTTTCGCAGAATGCTCCATAATTAATACAACCATTTGTAGGATTGGTGAATTTTCTACATAAACGACGACAATCTTCTTTACTCAGATTCAAACCAAGAAAGTATAATACTCTTTCAAATTGTGTATTAGTAATACTTCTCGAAAAACATGATCCCTAGAAAAATAGTTTCACGAAAAAGATTTTTTATTGGAAAACTTGACAATGTTTATACTAGTTACTTCAAGTTGAAATTGATGGTTAAATATCTGAACGGAGTAAGGGTTTATTTGATTGAACTATATTAATAGTCAACTATACAGTTTGTTTAGTATAAAAGATTCGTTTTATCAGCCAAAATAGGAACATGCACTTAAAATCGAGGGAAAGGCCTTTGATTTTCGCAAGAATCACGGAAAGTGATCACGGATGCAAATAGAAATTTTCTTCAGATGAAAAATTCCTAGGTTTTATATTTGACTGATTCACCAATAGACTTTCCTTAATGACTCATATTTGTGGAAGATATCTTGACACTATCATTGAAGTAAAGAGTGCTTATTAGCTTAATATTTCTTTAGTCTAAGATCAAGACAACCCTCATATTATCCAGAATCCCAGAAGAATACTGAAGAGTAATAAATATAGCTAGGAGAAATGTAGAGATATGATCATATCGTAAAGTGATATAATTAATTACGAATATAGAAATAGCCAGTTCATTTATCAATCAAAACGTGTTTTGATTAGTAAAAGATTACTATACTTCTTAAAGCGACATGAAGCATGACAAAATTGATTTAAATAAACCAAATAGAAGTGTAATATACTTCATGAATAATTTCAAGCAATTGGACTATGAGGTTAAAATACATTTATAATCTTTGAAATTCGATAGTGATGCGATTATGAATTCAGATTATTTATCTCGATTAAAATAATGAAAACTTGGATAAACTCAATAAAACGCAAGGATTCTGTTTTACATCCCGAGACAATATCAACAGTAAGGTCAGCTAAATATTTCTTGAATGGTATAAAGTAACCCTTTTTAATCGGTTATTAAATCAGTATCCGTCTGTAGCAGGTCATCTTTGTAGTAAAAATTTGTAAGAATTAATGGGTGAAGGTCTTTACAGTAATGAAAAACTGGCTTACCATATCATAGTCCTGAAAATATGGATATGTTAATATTCTTTTTTCACGAACTTGACGTCCGATTTCTTGGATTAGTTTAGATACACGATCTTCATCTTCTTGGCTTAATACGCATAGATGCTGTTGAAATATTGCCAAAAGGGTTATATAATTTGTAACAATTCCAACTTTGCAAGTTCTATAGAACATGCTAAATATTTCCCGTTTAAGTTTGCAAAAGTCAAATCAAACTTTCACTAGGACTCAACAAAATATGACATTTTCGATTAGATAAAGAAATATATAATTTCAAATGACTAAACAGATTCCTTAAGTAATCGAATTTAGATTGGATCTTGCAAACAAATCTCATAATGTAAAAAGAGCCTAAGACAATGTTATCTTTAGGTTCGGTAGAATAGATAACGGCGATACAACTGAATAGTATAAATAACTGATCAAAATATGTGTAATTCTCAGTGTGTATCCCCGGCATAAAGTTTTATATTCAGTGTACTTCACTTTCAGTTGTTTTTATAAGTGAATATCATAACGTTATTACCTTACTTATCCCAAAATCCGGACAAATATTACAATGTTAAGTATTTTGTTACCTCTTTTTGTTTTTTATGTCATCTCGAACTAAACTTCATTGATTACAGTATGTAAAACGTTTTATAATAATATTACTAATGTAAATTTAGGCCGTTTGCAGCTGATGAAAAGCCTTGAAATATGATGAATTCATGTTATTCCGAAAATCCTGTTCTCGATTGATTTAATTTTATCAATAAATCAGGATACATAAAAGCTGAAATTACAATTCATTGTTGATGTTCACTTTTCACCAATCAAGTTGCTCTATTAAGTATTCTTCACAAAATTGTATTGAAAACTGAGTGATTAATTACTAATCACTTCTTTAAGTAAACACAGTCTGTAAGATGGTGTCTGTGGTCAGAAAACATATTTGACACACTTGAACTCAAGTCACATTACCTTAGGTTGAATATCCTACCTGGAGCATTAGCAGTGAGACTGTCCTAGCTAAAAGTTGTTTCCTGGTTGAATAAAGGAACGTCTTTCTTATCATGGTTATGCATTATACTGTAAACGTTAGTGACGTTATAACCAAGGTAAACCACTTCTCGACTACTTAATTACCATCTATTTATAGTTAACTAAGTACTTTATACGCTAAATAGTTATCACTTGTGCCATTTTATTTTGAGCATTTATGTAAGATAAACAATTATCTCACTGATAAGTAATCAGCAGTTTAGTCAACCATTTTTTCTTTGCGTTCAGTCAGTCAGTCAGCTACAACGCAGGACCAGGCACATATGTGCATCGGTCCAGGTTGCCATACCGCATCAGCACAACAAGATGAACACCGGATTCATAGCAGCGGTTAGGTCAAAGGTGGTAATATATAATAGAAAGATTGCATATAGAGATATAGTACAAGAAGAAAGAATTGGTTCGTAGAAAGAAAGATATGAAGCGATTTTAATCTCTTAGTTTAAGGGAAGACAAAGAGTGTATACACCGACTCCATTGTGATCGATTCTGAGCCATGTCACCAAGAGTCTCCAACCATTGGTTACGATAGTCACATGGACACCAACCAAGTAGTCCGCATCTACCAACACGACTCAGACTAGAAGATGGTAACTTCAAGCACTGATACCACGTTTTGGTTTGGCCGCCCCTAACTTTCTTCCAAACATCCCCAACACCGGTTAGCATTGCACGTGGTGGTAACCGGTGTTCAGGCACACTCAACACGTAGCCCAACCATCTCATTCGATGAAGACTCACAATCTCATCAACTGATTTACCATCATTTCCTAATACCCTCCGTCTAACCTCACTATTACTTACCCGGTGATCCCAGCAGATCTACTGATGGAAATAACTTTCTCGTCGACTGAGTTCTCAGGTATTGATCTCCTTCCAGGAGGTCTACTTATCGACTTAGAATACGCAGATGACATAGTCTTGTTTGGTAAAGACGCTGACAAAATTCAGAGTCTTCTGGTAGCACTGAACAACAATGCCAGAATGTTTGGAATGCGCTTCTCTCCCTCTAAATGCAAGTTGTTGCTTCAGGACTGGTCTGCGTTAACACCTGAACTAAGGATAGGGAGTGAAGTAGTCGAACGCGTTGACAACTTTACTTATCTTGGAAGTCTGATCAGCCCTAATGGGTTGGTGTCTGACGAAATCCAGCACGGATTCGAGAAACTCGTTTGGCTTTTGTCCACTTACGTCATCTGTGGCGAAGGCGAGATATCAGTCTATCAATAAAAGGACGAGTATACTGCGCGGCAGTCCGTTCTGTTTTAATTTACGGCAGCGAAACCTGGCCATTAAGAGTAGAAGACACTCGTAAGCTACTAGTATTTGACCACAGATGCCAGTATAGCTCGGTTGCTTCATCGCGATAGGCAAGCCCGACCACCACGTCAAGGTAGCAAAAACGGTCGGGTTTCTTTGCGTTGATTGGTATTGGTTAGAAAACAGTCACTATTCAAACCTGATTGACAGTATAGTCTGCTCTGAGTTTTTATATTACAGGCTACTTTTTCACACATAATTATCCTTAAAAAAGTGTTGGAGGGCACATTTCATCCTAGCCTAAGGCCAACAACTACGTGTATAGGCTTCCTGAAGGACTTTAGATATTTTATAGGATAATTGCCCTGGTGAATAATATAGACCTAATCAGTAGATATATTAACAATACTCAGTTAACGAAGCACAATCAGGAAACATTGGGTGACTACAAACTTACACTAGTTGTGTGCAGATTTAACACTATAGGTTCACTGACAATTTAAGACAATCCAAATTCTAAAGTATCTAATTTTACCCGAAATTTCAGACGATATCGCCATTCTGCTTACCTGTGAAAGTGCACCTCTAGCTGGAATAGTAATTGGTTTTAACGGATCCTTCTCCAAATACAGCGTCTGAAAAGCTGTGAAAAACAAAAGGGTAGATGAAATAACTAGTTACTTAAAAAAAACAACTTAAAGACGGATTTTAATGTGAAACAATATAAGCGATTTCATAGGTAAGTTCCGTAAATTATAGGAAAACTGATACTCATAATTATAAGAATTAAGAGTAAATTTCGAGTTTCTATAGTTTCACAAAGACAGAAATTCCTATTTTAAAAGCAGCTGAATTGTTCAATTTAAGCACTTTGATTAACGAATTTATGAGTCGAATATTCTTACGAAATACCAATGAATATATGACTGTAAGTCATAAGAATAATGTGAATGATACCAAACAAAAGATGCAACACAATGACTGAATTAGAGAGGTCGAATTGAATATTATTTTAAATCTGATAACCAGTCGTTATTAAAATAATTATTAACACATAGGGAAGTATGATAGTAATCCATCTATGGAGCCGCAGTAAAGAAAGATCAAGTCAAGGGAAAGTAACCTACTTACTGTAAAACCTATGGTGGTATTGTTCTGTGAACAAGGTAGACTAATACGGAAAGCTAACAACCTCGATTAGGACATTCAGGTGAAGAATTACTCATTTAAAAGGTATGGGATATGTGTACGTCATTTTTTATAAAAGGATGATGATATTCGTATACTAAAGACTAATCGTGCTTAATATTCTCTTCAGTTTATACGTAACGTCGCATGATTCGCAGCTTCATGAACAGAAACTGATCACCAAAATGCTTTATGAAACATATAATACTGTTGTGGATTGTTTAGATTGTACGAAAAAACGATATGGGAGATAAAATTCAGTAACTCTACAAAAGCCAGAAAGTTCATAAATCCTCAAGTACTTACTTGAGAAAGCCCCAATAACGTGGAAAGAATGTAGAACTCATCACATCAACTGTTATCCTTGCTAACCAACCTACGTATGTATTTAAAAGTTCTAAGCCGTCCTAGTCAGTTCATTGGCTGGTAATGTCAAAACATAAAAACCATTATTTACATGGATTCAACAAGACGATCGAAGGAAAATCTCTCATTGCAAAAGAGGAGAACATAGGATGAATTGTGTAGGCGAAATGAAAATAGTTTTACATCCTGATAAAAGTCCATAGATATCAAGATGCTCAATCATACGAGTTTTTCATGAACCTCAGTGATCTTTACAATTTCCAACTACTTATAATATCTCAGTAGTAAAAAGTATAAAATAAAACTTTTTAAACCAATGTCCAGAACTTGAACATTCAAGGAAGTTATCGGTGGAAAGAAATCATCATTAGTCATGAATCAGTGTGTTGTTTGAATGAAATAATGATTCCTTTGTACTTGTTGGATGCTTGATTTTGAATTCCAAATACAGTACATTCGTTCGTGCCTATATAGCACTTCTTGATCCAATTGCGTTATTTCTGGAATTCTTAGTTTATACTATAATTCAAATACTCCTAATTATCACAATCAGCCAAGTATAGTAGATAAATAAAATCATTTTTCTTCACCAGAATGAGATAGTAATCCGATGGTGGGATAACATGTTCGATTAATAGTCCTGGACTAGTAATATTGAGACAAATGTTGTCTCACGAAGATAGAATGTGGTTCGTACACTAAATTCTACGTTTCTTATTACATCATGCTTCAATCTAGCATTGAATATTGTTACTTCAGGAAATTTTTCTTTTATCTAACTCAATAAAACTTTGGTAAGTGAGATAGATTGGTTCACTAACCGAAATTATAAATTATCAGGCATGTAAATATATCTTAAAACGGTTGTTCTTGTCCACTCCATAACTTTTCCACAGTAACAAAAGGTTTTTAACAATGTGTATATTGTTCTTTCTGTAAGTAAACTTTTTATAGACGCATTAAAATATCTTCACAAAAAACAATCATTCTTTACATACTTACGTGAGTCAATTTCTCTACAAAATTCGCGATAATTAATGAACTGAGGGTTTGTTGTTGAACGGTAGTAGTTTGCAAGCATTTGAACCTCCTCGCGACTTAATTTAGCTTCCTTACCAACAGATGATAGGAGAGCACATGTGAACTGATGTTCCGTTACTTTATCATGTTTTAATTTATCATAATCCACAAAAAAGTCCATAACACGTATACCACGTTTCCGAATAGTACATTTTATGCGGTCAACAATCATATGTTGTGATGGAATTAATAAATTATCTTTCTGGGAGATATGAGCAATATCTCTGTCTTTCTGCATAAAGATGAAAATTTAAATGCACAGTATGATACATAAAACAGTATTATTCAGCCACATATACATGATCCAAGTTCATTTCAAATTTAAAGTCATAATAATATGTTAGGATTCCACTAATATTATTAACAACAAACTTGATACAAAAAGTCATTCCTTAAAGTTATCATATTGAGTTGAGTATAGCCAAAGGAGAATATAATTAATAAATACTAGCAACAAATCATCAATTCGTAAATCGGATAAGTCTAAAACAAAGACAATGCTTGAGATTTTAAACCAGATATAAACAAGATACATTCTCTTCAGTAGGACAAATTTTGCATTAAAATTATGCACCGTTTTAGATACCTATTTCAGCTGTTGTGAGTACCTTAACTGGTAAACATTTATCATCCTTCAAGTTATGAAACACCGAGTTCGTGAAACCATGTTACGTTTGAAACGAACTTTTACTGTCGTTCCGTTTTTAAACATTTGACGTAATATTTTCGAAATTATTTTTACAGATTTCGGTTCGCATCACATCAAATGATGACTTAGTTGTTATTCATTCACAAAAGATGTATTAATTTCCAGAAGTCCATTTTTCGGTTTGCATAAGAGACAAACTTAAGTTAGTTACTCATAATCCCTATTTCGTTAAACTACAATACTATTACTGGGCCTGTAGGGCCAGTGAAATGTCACTGAGCCCTAGCCAAATCATCCGGCAGTTGGATCACTGAATGTCGAACAGATCGTCGCTCCCTGCCAAGGTCATGTACAAGCAACGCGCATTAGTTAATCATACGCCATGGACTGGCCCGTGCGACAGTGGTCTTACTTTCGCCTGTATCTACCTTAACTAATATATTTCTGTAATAACGTCCTTTGTGTTGTACAGTCTTCAAAGCATCTATAGTACCTTGTTACGTCAATGGGGGTAGTCCACGTAAGGTGCTGACCACGAGGTGTGACTTCGACGTTAGTTGGTTCGTCACACCATTCACGTCTAACTGGAGTAGGTCTCCAATCATTTCGACATAGATCATCTACGTTGGTGATCTACAGGCCCAAGGGTTTGAGGTTTGTATTTAACAATTGCACTCAAAGTTCTGATTCAATAGTTGTATTTATTTACACAGTATCCCATCATGGCTTTTGAAAAGTTATTATCAGTGTCAAATGTAGCATTTCGGCATTTTTTGTAGACTTTAATTTACCTAGATTCCATAATGCGCATTTGCGAACAACTGAAGCAGTATAAATCAGATCGATGGGCTTTAAGGTTGAAATTATTCATATTAATTAGGTAATACAACTATCAAAGTAAAACACTGATTATGAAGTTTTTACTCTAAAAGTTGTGTGCTAAAGAACACAAACTTGAGATTTCATAAGAATGTACATTATTCAGATATTCATTTACTGGACTGTTAACATCTAGCTGGCGATCACTCAGTATTTATCGCGAGGACCGACCAAGAAGAAAGAAACGGAAACTTGTTGAAATACTTTGTGCTGAGAATTCTATATTGTACCAATAATATAATATTGAATAAAGCTAATAATAATAAATAAAAAATATACCAAGGTTGAAATTGATAGCTTCAAATAAATTCAACATAGGGTGGAAAGTTAATAATAAAAATGTTCTTTTGTTACACGCCAATGAGCAGAATAATTGTATTTCTAATCTGTAGACACAGTTTTGTGTAGAAGTGATCAAAACCGTATTTTTACTCTAAATAAAGTGTTTATTGGTGTGTTAGTTGTCTCGCAATTTAATTTAGCATATAATGCTTTTGTCGTACCTTGGCGGTAAAAAAACCGCAGTATCAATTCAAAATCTTTCATTAGGACTGTTATTTACAGATAGACAGTTTCTTTTTAAGATATTTTCAATAATATTCTTAGGAAACTTATTAGGATGTAAGATGTTTATTATAATTTAGTTTTATTTTAGTTCGTTTTCTTCTGAAGTAATGATATTGATCGCTTTTTGTAAAGATTCAGCACTAGCAAACCTTTTGCATTGAATGGATATGCAGACTTAAAATCAATGTGTCAGTTTTCGATATATGACTAGCTTTAGACACAAAATTATGTATAAAGGTTAGGTTGTGTTGATTTCGGTGCGTTCTATGGTAAAGAGTCTTTCCGCGAGATCACAACACGTGCCAAGGAACACTTAAGGTACACAAAAAGACCTGGTAATCCTACAGAATTGGACATTTTACAGGTTAATCAGCGATAACAGCACATGATTTTTTCAATAGTCACCAAATTGATATTAAAAATACCAAAATAAACCAGAAAAGCCTTTACAAATATAGAGGCGAGTATCCGAAGCGTTTCATGTAATGCTAAATTCTTCTGCCCTCAATCGGAAAGGTCTGAATATTCATCCAATCTGGATTATTGATCCATACAAGAGTAGTGAATATGAACATGAGTGGTGACAACCGAATGTATCTGAACACGAGACTACAGAATATCTCACTAAAATCTGAGAACCATAAAGTAAATCTTCAATTTGCAAAATATCAATCCATTGTCTTAAGCTTGACTGTTTCCTTTGCAAATATCAATCCATCGTCTCAGATTTCATTGTTTCTGCATTTTCATGCCAACTGCCTTCCGTTCTCGTTCGTTCCTTCTCGATCTTCTACTGAAATACATTCTATTCCTGACTATAGTTATTTATTACTTATGTGTACATTAGTAACGCACACCACACAACCATATCTGACCTTAGTTATTTTCCACACAATCTACACACACCTACTTGATTTTACAAATGCAGACATCTTCCATACCCACACTCTGACAAACAAATTAATACAGTAACAGGCCATACAAATTTACCTTGACCAAGAATCACTTGACATTGAAGTATTTAGGCCTATTAGAATTTGATTGTGCCGAAAATATTTTGCATCGGTTTATTTATACTATTTGGACTTGTGTCGACCTAATTCAGCTGTTTGTTGGCTCCGAATAAATGGCTTACATTAGGCGACAAGACGTTATAAATACAATTTTAGTACTCATTGGCATGTAACATAAAATATAATTATTATAGGCTTAATATATTTACCAAGACTTACTACAAGTTTCGTGTTGTCTTCCAAAGCCTTTTCGTATGAGTCAATCGTTTTAAGGTCTTTTTCAAAAGCCAGATAATCTACAAAACCAGGATTAGTTAGTGATTTATAACGCTGAACGAGTGACATCATTTCTTCATCACTGATATCCTTCGGACCAGGAAACCCTCTGAAAAACTGCAAACATTTGTTAAAAAGTTATGAAAATTAACAGACTTGGCTTTCGGTCACTTCACCTAAGTTATGAACATCATACTGTTTATAACATTGGCGTATTATATAACCTTGGTTAGAGATAAATTGATTGATTCTGGAAAGCAGTGGTTTTATATACTCCAGTTTTTCATCATTGTACAGCTTATGCCGTGATTTTGTGCCTACGATCGGAGATCTAATCGATTAAAGGTAATAAATAAATTACTCGATTGTTTGGAGAACCTTGGATTCCGGCGTTACACTAAAATCATTTTCATTATATTTACCTTTTATTTCACGAACAAATTTCCTCCAGTTAATATATCGGTTCCCATCAATTCCGTATTTTTTTAAAATAAGTTTTTCCTGCGAAACGTCAAGTGGGACACCGATTAGATTTCTTAAGATTCTTAAGAATTGGTTTCCTGGAACTAATGGATTCATGTTTATACTATATTACCGGTGACATATCCAGATCTTAAGTTATCGTAATCAAGAAAGTTTTCATCAAATCTGCATCGACGATCTTTTGCAATGTCTCGAATATAGTTTTCAACATTTTGCACTGCATCCAGAGCCATATGAAAATCAAATGTATTCTGAGGCGTTACTAACACTAATTTGATAGGATCATCCAATAAAACAAATATGACAAACTTCACAATTTAGGATTACTGATAAAGTCGTTAACATTTCTATTCACCATTCTAAAATTTTCTATATCGTGTACAGTTATCGTTTTTTTTCCGTTTGGAACGATAAATGTAAATATACATTAACCAGTAACGAGTTGGACTAGTAGTGTGTTCTTCAGATTTTTCAGACCCAAATCGGTCTACGCTTTTCAAGGGAGTCAGTTGGGACTGTAACTACTACTGATCCAACAGTGAATTTCACAAAAGCTTATTCTGAAAGTGGTTGTTTAACTGCTGAGATTTCCTCATCTAACATGTAAGTTATATTTTCTTGTATTCTGTTTAGTATCAGGGAGTATATGTCGTCTATTGAAAAGACAAGTGTGAAGAGTGGTATACTTTTTCACGATCAAAGAAACAATACCCAATATCATTATAACTACTGCATATCAGTAAGTTTATCTTCTCTCATGTCTTGTTGTTAACTTTCTGTTCCGGGCTATTAGACATCATAAAAAGTGAGTACTCCCAACATCCGACTGCAGAATTCTTAGTTCATTGGATAGTTGCTTATGGGTTCTTACGTATTGAGTATAAGTGAGTGCGCCGCTCATCTAGAGTACAAAAGACTTTCTGTTTAAATTTTTGTATGCTGATTTTAATACAATTGCTTCGTATTCATTGCTCTAGTGGCACTAATTCTAATTAGAGACCATGTGAATTATTAAGGTTATGGTTATCAGAAGATTGCGAAAATGGGATTAAAATATAACATTTCAGCACCTTATGACGGTTGCATTTAAGTTAACATATCGGAGTGATAAAGTAAATGTTGTCGCCCAGAATGAGTCTCCAAAATAAGTAGTTTTGTAAGTCTTCGATATTTGATTCTGACATTACTGGACACACCCTAGCTGAAGGCCCTAATTCATACATTCACGTGCTACTCATCGCCTACAACGGTTAGCCAGCTTAAATTAAATGCTTCCCGAGATACCGATAGCCCTTCAAATGCATCTTCGAACCTCTTCACCCCTGACTTCTGATTTGACTGGGTTGGCATACTTCGATTATATAAGTGTTGCAGGCAAAGCCGTTTTCAAACTCCGAATAGTTGTCGCATCGTTAAAGTAATAACACTGTGGCATTGAAGATCCCAGTTGATCTTTGTTTGGTCGCTTCAAAACTTCACTGTTGGCCATCCATAACTAACATGTTCTGGAATGCAGAGTTGTACATTATGAGTTGGAATTCACTCTAATCGTGAAACCAATTTTAATGAAGTTCGTCGTACAATAATAATTTATGCATGTTCATTATCTAAGAACAAAATACATGATTTGGTAGTTTAGTTACGTTTTTTGGTTAGATCAATTCGAACTGTTAATTTTACGAATTGGATACGTTCACTAAACCGATGACTAATTAATATCATGTTCTGCCCGTTCAAATTTTATTAGTGACCGAATATTTTAAGTGACATATTTCATAGCACATTTTGGTTTTTTTATCAGTTGTGCTTCACCGTTGCAGTCAGTAGTTCATACATAGAAAACACTGATTTACAATCATGCGTTATTTGTTTTATCGCGCCATGTTGTCCTTGTTTCATTCAATGAATAGATAGTAGCGGTTCTAATTCTTAGCCATAACAATCATCCATACCACCAACATTCCTAAAAACAATTGTAACATCGTGGTTAACTATTCTTTGTTTCCTAAATAATTTTTTTATCACTACTGTTTTAAATATTGTTCACTTTCCCATATAACGGATGGGTTAGTGTATTTAAACACTGACATTGCTATTCAACGACATCAGACTTTAGCCAATGAAACTCACGCGAGTTCTGTACTTCAAACGCCCTTATATTGTGAAGAATTAGATTTCTATGATCAGAAAGTGTCTATGCATCCACAATTTCTTAACCCTCATAGACGCTTGACTCTCTCTCTCTCTTTGTCCAAGTAGCAAAACTAGCATTAATGGGGTTCACAGACGAACTCCCGTTCTGACTCAAAAACAAACCTATAGATTCGAGAGTGGACTGTGATTCTGACGGGGGTACAACAAGAAACTATCCCAAGGTGTACACTAATCACCGATTCCACTACGGATCCCTTAAAATACCTTAGTTCATAAACTGTCGTCTACACAGACAACATCATATTATAGTGAACTTTTATAAATGGTAGGGATTCACTGCAGCTCTAAGGATATCTGCAACTACCCGAACAGTGAAGGAGTCACAGCAGTTTGTGAACCAGAGTGCTAATATGTAAATTAGTATTCCTTCCTACTACAGAAAAGCAAGAGTTCCCCCTTACAGCAAAGGTGACATGGTCATGGTGAATAGCATGATAAGAGGACCGGAGTAATCCAGCAAAGCGCTTCCACCTTAAGCCCATGATTATGTTCCACGAAGAGACCTTCAAACAATCAGACGTCAAAGAGAGGAGACATGTGAGTTCTCGTATTTTTTGCTCCAAGTTTGTCCTACTTAAAATGCTTTCTCAATCAAAGTGACACTGTATTCTTCAGTAGATGGTTTCAACTAAAGGCTCGATAATCGTGTAAGCAACCATGGATTATCGTCTTCGAACAGGCGTAGCTACTTTTCACAAACATTAAATAGTTTTACTGCGCGATCTGTGACCGAACAGTTCTGAGGAGGTGAAATAATAGTAGTTGTTTAGGTGAAAAACAGTATCCTTGTGACATACCACTTAAATCACATTTATGAAACACTTGGCTTCGTCTCACACTATCATCACCAGTTCTGATATTTCAGAAAAAATCACGGTTGCACCCATTAAAAGCTCGTTAGCATTGTTATCTGTAAACACTGTCAAGAAACAGAAAATAATATGTTCAGTTTAAGGTTTTTAAGTGACCGTTTATTCATTTACTTAACTGCTTAGTTGCTTATCGTCATAAACAGCTCTGGGCTCCACTTGGATCCATTATTGAACACCAGCTACTCATTGCAATTCAATCTCAATAAAGTACATCAACCCATATACTGAACATTCGAACCCTACTAAGATTATTCATATTCTAACGCATGAAAACTTATTCCCCTGTTTAAAGAGCCAACATTTCTCATAACAACACAACTATGTAACTTATTACAATAAACCCTGTAGCATTCATAGCAATCAGATCTCGTCTGTAAACTGGAATGCCCCATGTCACATATTCTTATTTGAAAACAATCTATAAGTATTATGACTACAACATACTGATTGACAGTTACAGGCCCATCGTTCCCAATAAAAGCGACACGTAATTAAGATCGAGATTGCCTTCAAATACTCAGACTTTTAACCTCCAAATATTGAGTACAACGACAGAAAAAATAAATATTTCCGATTGTACTACCTCCATACTGTTCCGTTATCTGGCTACATAAAATTAACACCATCAAGTATTTTGAACTTTGACGCTGCTAGAACGGATAGACCGACTCAATGAGCCGCATCCGTTTGAAGCAGAGGAAGATTGTTTCACGTTCGATATGATTATCCTCACCACGTCTCCTGTCACATACGAAGTTTTCCAAAATGAACTATCTTGTTCTTCCTCACATCCTAATATTAATGCTTATGTGTGTTCAGATATATCCCTTCTTACTATTTTTCGCGTCGATATTACTTTTATCTCTTCTTGACCGATAAGCTTTTTTACTCTTGCTCTATTCTAATTGTGTGATTACGTTAGGCCCACGTGGCTGGTTGCTGAGATAGTATCCTCTAAAGTTCCTTAGAACTCCTCTCTTTCTTGTGTGAACGCAACCATTGAATGTGAACAACACCAACCTCCAAACATTGTTTGAATTTAATACGGCCATTTTTGATCTAAACCAACCTCTACAGACATCACTGAAGGACTAGAACCGTACTGTCACAACATGAAAGGAAATACATAAATTGGTTATAAGACTTAACACGACATGGCACCCATATATAAACTGTAGTTTATGTTGGCTTTTAAATGGCTTTGTCTTAAGTGGTATTCTTACACAGAATAGGGCTGATCCTTGTTTTATTACATAGATTTTAGGACCCCACTTATGAAATACAGAGGCATCACCATTCTAGGTGAAAATTTCGATACTGAACCGCATAACACTAACTTGGTGCTGTTTAGAACAATCTATCGCAACGAAAACGCTTTTAAACCTTGGACAGGTTGTAAAATTTTGTTTTTGGAATTCATGTTCATGATCTTAAGTTTCCACTTCGTCTAACAAAATAGTATCACAATGTAACCCACTCCGAGTTTAGAACACACGATATCGCGCATGAATCTATGCTTTCATATCAAAATATGTGATGAGCAAATATTTGTGGACAAGGTATGAAATCGCACTCACAATTGCCCGGTTATTTCAGGGGTGAAGAATAGTCGACTCTATGTAAGTTTTCACACTGCTTTCAGTAGGTCGATAAACGACCAGAAATAACTGTGAAGTTAAATTTATCCGTGAGTCTTGTTCTTGACCATAGGTCTTGTTCCATTTAAGTTTGGATGCTTCGGGGTTAGAATCATCTATAAACGGATATGAAAAATGTCTAAAACTAATTACACAAATGGCTATCATTTGGCTTGTGACATAAGGAGTAATCAAGTCCTCTGTTGAGACTATACGGTGTTTGTTCTACTGTAAATTGTACTAAATGTTATTTGTCTCTATATGAACCTTCTTATCCTCCCAGGTTTTGCAATATTTTATAAATGGCAAAGAACATTTTCATCTGACTTGTGACATATAAAGGCCTTATGTTTTCGACTTAAGCCATGTCATCATTTTGCCACTTGTGTATTTCTGCGTGATGTCTACCAACATTTTCTACTTCACTTGGTTAGTAACTGAACTTTTAAGGAAGGACGTCTCCGTGTTGCTAGAAGTTTCTAGAAGAAGGCAGTTGTTAGGTTTGCAGTGGACTTTTTAATGCAGTCACGAAAA